AGGTAGCCGGGGAGCGTGGCCGGCAAGGTCACGCCCAAGGGGACCGTGACGGCGTGAAGCGTGCTCCACACGTCCTTGATGAAGTCACAGTCTACGAGGAAGTGGCGGTACGTCTCGTGCGCGGGGCAGAAGAGGCACGCTTGGTCGGCCCTGTCGAGCCAGGCAATATTGAAATTAGTGGCCTCTGGATTGGCTCGATACCATATCAAGATATCAAGGACCGATTTTGGCGGTCGGCGTCGTTGCCAAGGGCAGTTTTGCGACCTGTACGCTCCACGATTATTCAGCGTTTTGATATCCCGAAGAAATATTTTATCTATCGGACTTGAAGTGGCAATTTACTCGCTGCACGTATTCAATACTAGTACTAGTACGCGCATATTGGCGCACGGCAAACGTAAAAGCGTGCACGGTCGCTGGCAAATGATGACACTGCAAAGCAGTTTGTAATCGAGCGGCCACTTGCGATCTGGTCCGATATTGCATTCGTTGCTTTGCCACCCGTAGGCTGATAGGCATTCTCATCATGCAATGACCGCGTCGTTGACCGAGCTTTCAGCAGGCACGAACCCGTGGGTGGGAGGAGGTTCAGCGCCCCCAGACCAGCCGACATGACTTTTGCCAATGGCCAACGAGCGGTTCAACAAACAAAAGCATCGCCACTCGACTTGATCAGTACCTTCTAGGTACACTGGATCGCATCTTCAAGCAGTGAGTTAAGTTAAAAATGTGGCTTGGGCGCCACCGGCTTCCACTTGCGTTGCGTTGGAATCTTTCGAATCGACCCAATATAGAATATTGCATCTTCTGACACCATCTTCTTGGCCAAACTATCCACATTGACCCTAAGCTCAAGGTTTGCAAAGTAGTGCGTACTGCAGGACACATATGTGTGAGTCAACGCGGGGCATTATATCTATTACAAGGAGCGGGCATCGCATCAAAGTCGGTTATAAATACTGTAATACGGCATTCAGGCCAGCTGTTTTAACGCCGATTTCGGAACCTGTCTGTCGCATGCAACCAATGCGCAATGGCCAAAATGATGGTGCTCGACCAACCGATCACGGACGCGTGGGCCAGCAATGACACCGACGTCAATCAGTGCTCTACACCCTCTAGTTGAGAGCTACCTACCCTACGAACAATTCATTTTTGGTATCCCGCCATACAAGCCAGTCGGTTCCGTGTCACTGGCATATTGTTCGAGATACTGCGTCTCGTCGTGCCCCTTCGATCTTTCTACCTAATCTTCTTCTTCAGCATACGCAGTCACCCAATCTTTCCATTTTGAGATTGCCAAAAGTCGATTCAAGATGAAGTGGGAGCCCTCGTCGCTCATCACGATCGACGTCGGTGGCACGACCCACACGCTCACGTGGGGCGAATTCACCGCGTCGGTCGCCGAGGCCCAAACCGCCACCACTCATGGCGCGTCCCTCGACCTCTTCTGGCTCCTCTTTGGCGGCGTCCTCGTCTTCCTCATGATGCTGGGCCTCGCGCTCCTCGAAATCGGCTGCGTGCACAAGAAGAACACCAAGCACATCATCATTCGCATCCTCGGCGACTGCTGCATCACGGGCTTGACGTTCTATGCGGTCGGGTACAGCTTTGCCTTTATGGACGGCAACGGGTTTATCGGCACGACGGGCTTCTTCATGCAAGGCGCAGAGTTCACGGGTGCATCGGCGACGCAGGCGTTCCGCGGCCACCACTACGCCGACTGGTTCTTCCAGTGGGCAATCGCGTCCGTGGCCGTCAACATTTGCCACGGCGCGGTCGCCGAGCGCATCTCGTTGCCGGCGTACGCTGTCTACTCGTTCTGCGCGAGTCTCTTCATCTACCCGGTCTGCGCACACTGGGCGTGGGCCGAGACGGGCTGGGCGAGCATGCTCAACGAAGGCAACCTTCTCTTTGACATTGGCGTCATGGACTTTGCCGGCACTGGTTGTCTGCACATGTTTGCGGGCACGTCGGCGCTCGTCGGGTGTCTCTTGCTGGGTCCGCGCCTCGGCAAGTTTACGGCCGAGGGCCACGGCCACCTTCCGTCGCAGTCGGTGCTGCTGCAATTCATGGGCACGATGATTCTCTGGTTTGGCTGGTACGGCTTCAACTGCGTCTCGACGCTGAGTCTCGAGGGTACGAAGGGCGACGTCATGGCCAAGGTCGCGGTCAACCTCACGCTCTCGGCGTGCACGGCCGGCCTCGTCACGTCCATCTTGTACAAGGTGCTGGTCGCGGGTCACTTTGACATTTCGCAAGCCAACAACGGCATCCTCGCGGGCTGCGTGGCCGTCACGGGGTCGTGCCCTGTGATTGAACCCGAGGCCGCGATCGTCCTCGGCGTCCTTGGCGCGCTCGTGTACCTCTCAATTGCGCATTTGCTCGAGCGCGCGGGTATCGACGACGTCGTCGACGCGATTCCCGTGCACTTGGGCTGCGGCTTTCTGGGCACGTTGGCGCCCGGCATGTTTGCGTCCCCAAGCGGCGTCAAGACGTTTTACGGCAGCAACCGGACCAACTGCGGCTTCTTTTACACCTGCGAAGGCGGCGGCGGCAAGCAGTTTGGCGCGCAGATCGTGTACGCGCTCGCTGTCTTTGCTTTCGTCGGTGTCTGCGTCAGCCTTGTCTTTGGCAGCATGAAAGCCATCGGGTGCCTCCGCGTCTCGGCCGAAGCCGAGCGCATGGGCATGGACGCGTTCGAGCACGGCGGGTCGGCGTACGACGATGGCGACGATGCGCCTCGCGCTACAGACTCGTATCGCGATGTACAGTCGCCCCAAGATGACAACAAGCACGCTGCTTGAGACGTCCGAAAACAAAAATGCAATGCTTCTTGTGTGAAACATACATCGTTGAAGGGGTAGGTGGACACTCGGAAGAAAAGCTACAACACTGGCTCGGAGCCGGGGTAGCTCGAATGACTTGGCCTGCACTCTGCGTGGAGGAGCTGAAGGGATGATGCTTGCGCTCGATGAAACCTTTTTTGATTCGAGAGAAAGCCGACTCTCGATAGCATGACGCGGCTCCAACGAGGGGCTGGTCGAAACTGCGGTTGTGTTCGCCGAGGTGTCACGCCGCGATGTTCGTAGACGTGCATCGATTTCTCTAGATGGTCGATTTCGTAACGTTTCGACTGATATTATTGCTGATATTGTTGCAACACGCCATTAGCGTCCACCGAATGGTTGCGGTTCTGTGTTCATACCGTACATGTACCTGGAAATCTCGTGCAAAAACCTGAAAAATACCCGCGCCCGATTGCTGCGCAGGTGTCGCTGCGACAAAAGGTGCGGTGGAAGCGTTCCCACGATCTGAATTGTTGCCTATATCGAGAGTGGTCTCGATCAATTGTCGACGCTTCCAGTCGCGAATGCGGTTGCTCACCAGAGCGAGGTGCCGTAGGGTACACGATGCAGCGTCGGGCCCAGTCCTCGGCTCGCCCGTCGTCATGGTCGTGTCAGCCCGTTGCTCGCGCTGTCGACTGCCGTTGCATGGGTTGACACCTCTTGTACTTTGTATGTCATGCGGACTGGAGCGCACACAGATGTTTCGAGACAGTGGCGTATCGCAGCGAATACCTCTCGGTCCGTCGTTCCATCGTTCTCACTTTGCATTTCCCACTGAAGATTTCATCATACATGCAGCTTGTTCATCTTTTCGTGTCGGGACTTATCGCCGTGGCAGCTGTTGACGCGTCGTCGCTTCAGACTGGCAAGTGCGCCGTGGCATGCCCTCCGCTCAAGCAAACCTACTGCGCGCTCGAGTCGCCCAGCGCCACAACTTTTGTCGGCACGTACTCTAGCCAGTGCAACTGCCTCGTCGCCAAGTGCGGCAACAAAAAGGTCCAGTGCCTCTCGGCGTCGCCAGCCAAGAGCTGCGACAACTCGTGCACACGCAAAATCGCCAAGTGCAAGCCCAACGAGGTCAAGCCCGTGTGCGGCTCCAACGGCGTGACGTACGACAACCTGTGCTTTCTCAAGGCCGCGCGCTGCGTCAAGCCGGACATTCAGTTCATCGCACCGGGCAAATGCCCCAAGAAGATGACGACGTGCGGCATCGCCAAGTGCCCGTTGACAAAAACCAAGGTGTGCGCGTCCATGGACGGCGGCAAGACGGAGCTCAAGTACCAGAACCAGTGCTTTCTGGATGCGGCGACGTGTGTGAACCCGCTGATCAAGAAGATGGCGGCGTGCAAGGCGCGACGGGTGCTGTCGGTGGCGGCCAGCAACACGACGATGACGGTGGACGAGGTCGACTCGGATCTGGACGAGGATGTCGGCAACTTGGTGATCCCGGACAGCAACTTGGATGATGACGAGGATGATTTCCTCATCATCGATGACCTCATGGACCCGTTGACGGTGGTAAACGATACTGTTCCTATCAGTATGAACACGTCAGCGCCAAGTGTGTCGACGGCGGTACCGTCCAAGAAGTCATCTGCCACGCAATTTGACGGAGCTCTAACGTGGGCGGTGCTGGCGACCGCGACTGTCCTTGTCGCCGCGGTGTAGAACGACCCTTTTATGGACCCTCTCTTTTACGGCTCGACCCTACGACCATACACAGTGTTTACATCTTATTTGGGTACATCAAATTTGCAATACCATCCGTAATCGAATGCGATCGGTGGTTCTAATTGAACGGTTTGCGTGGTTCCATGCATAAAAACACATGCGTTTAGCTTTGAAATATCCATTCGGACGACTAACAACCGGTGATGCGATCCGATTTGTATCAATGAATCAAGTTGTACATCGTGCTGTCGCGCGTGCGTACCAGTGGTGCTGGGTGGCACCCACCGACGTTTTTGTCTCCGTGCGAGGAACGTGCTAGAGTGCGCGCTTTGAAGGATATCGCGATGTGTCCCATGGTCGTATCCCTGTCGACGACATGACAACACTACACTAACTCAGATCTCAGTACGTACACGCGCTTCCTCAAGTCGATCCGTGGGAAAACGCCGGGGCCGTCTCCCTTCACGTCGCACGGCTCGGGTTTTCTACACCGCTCGGCGCTTTTCAACTGCCGCATCGAGGCATTCTCCAATCGGCACGCTCATATGCAATTGAACGCATCCTCCATCTTGACGGTCATCGTCAACGGCCAGCCCACCGAGATTTCGTGGCCACAGCTGGCGTCGGCGGTCGCGTCCTCGCCGACGATCGCACCTCTCCACACGCTCGACCTCTTTTGGTTTGTCTTTGGCGGCGTCCTCGTCTTCCTCATGATGCTCGGCCTCGCACTCCTCGAGATTGGCTGCGTGCACAAGAAGAACACCAAGCACATTCTCATCCGGATTCTTGGCGACTGCTGCATCACGGGCTTGACGTACTATGCATTTGGCTACGGCTTTGCCTTTATGGACGGCAATGGCTTTATCGGTTCGTCTGGCTTTTTCATGCAAGGCGCCGCGTTCGTCGGCGCCTCCGAGGGCCATGCGTACAGCGGCCACCGATACGCCGACTGGTTCTTCCAGTGGGCGATCGCGTCCGTAGCCGTCAACATTTGCCACGGCGCGGTGGCCGAGCGCATGCAACTGCGCGCGTACTTTGTCTACTCGTTCTGCGCCAGCCTTTTCATCTACCCGGTCTGCGCGCACTGGGTGTGGGCCGAGACGGGCTGGGCGAGTATGTTCAACGAAGGTCACCTCTTCTTGGACATTGGCGTCATGGACTTTGCCGGCACTGGTTGTCTGCACATGTTTGCAGGCACGTCGGCGCTCGTCGGGTGTCTCTTGCTGGGTCCGCGCACGGGCCGCTTTAGCGAGAAAGGCGACGCGTGTGAGCTGCCGCAGCAGTCGGTGTTGTTCCAATGCATGGGCACGATGATTCTCTGGTTTGGCTGGTACGGTTTCAACTGCGTCTCGACGCTCGGTCTTGGCGGCACCAAAGGCGACGTCATGGCCAAGGTCGCGGTCAACCTCACGCTCTCGGCGTGCACGGCCGGTCTTCTCACGGTGCTTCTGGACAAGCGGTTTGTCACTAAGACGTATGACCTTGGCCAGGCCAACAATGGCATTCTCATTGGGTGCGTCTCCGTCACGGGCGCGTGTCCTGTGCTCGAGCCCGAGGGCGCCATTCTCATGGGCGTTCTGGGCGCGGTGACGTATCTTTTGCTCAAGATTTTGCTGGCGCGCGCCGGTGTCGACGATGTTGTCGATGCAATCCCTGTGCACGGCGGCGGCGGTTTCCTCGGGACGCTCGCGCCCGGCATGCTGGCGTCCCCGGGTAGCGTCAAGATGTTTTACGGCAACGATCGGACCAACTGCGGCTTCCTGTACACTTGCGAGGGCGGCGGAGGCAAGCAGTTTGGCGCGCAGATCGTGTACGCGATTGCAATCTTTGCCTTTGTCGCTGGCTGCTGTGCCATTGCTTTGGTGCGATGAAGGCGATAGGCTGGCTCCGCGTCTCGCTTGAAGCCGAGGCCATGGGCTTGGATGCGTTTGAGCACGGCGGGTCGGCGTACAATGATGGCGACGAAGCGACGCAGACAAACCAAGAAAGCTACCATGATGCCATCGAGAGCCCCAATGGGCCATAATGTAATTGGATTGAATGACGTCCTTGGATTTTATGAGTGCAAGTCCGTCCGTGTGCGAATAGTGAGCGATGTGGACAAGCCCCAACTGGCCTGCTCAGCATGATACATCACGGATAATGCGACGATAACCGGTAGTGTCGATATATCCAGTGCCGGGCGTGGAGACCACATCGGTTTTCGCAGGTGCTCTTGTGCAACGACGTCGCCAGATCCTAGTGTCAACTGCAAAACCCATTCAAATTTAATGCTTCTACTGAGAAAGGGACCGGCAAGCAACTCTGATAAGGAGGCACGACCGATGTACATCGCAGACCCTCAGTACAGCGAGGCAACGTATCATATTTCTGCGCAGCAGGTAGCGCCCTTGGGTACTACTAAACAACCCTTTAACAACTAGTGTTGCTTTAGCTTGGATGGTCGTCGACGGGGTCACCAACAATATCACGAGAAACAGTAGCGTTACGTAACCTCTCGCTGAACGACATATCTTGTGTCGGTACCATGAACCGGGTCGCGCCGTACCATGGCCCGGCAGCCGAAGTCGTCCACGCGCCGCGCCTTCCCCTCTTTCCCGAGCTCGCTGGGATGACGTACCTCGTGGTGTCTGTGGGCCTCAGCTTTGCCGCGCTCAATGCGTTTGGTCGGTACACGAGCTCCGACTTTTTTGTTGCCGACTTTGACAGCACGACAGCCCTCATCGTACAGTCGTTCAATACGGCGCTGACGACGACGACGACGGCATCGACCACCGTTGACATGACACTACCGACGCTGTCGACTGTGCCGTTGGGTGTCAACCCAGCGTACCCACGCCTGCTCATGTACAGTGAGCTCACGACACTACCCACTGCAATCCAGGGCCTTCGGCGCTTGAGTCCGAGCCTCGTCGTCAAAATGGTGTCACTCTACTGCTGGGTCGACTTGGGCCGGCGGTGGGAGCTTGCGTACTCGGCGACGCGCCAAGCGCGTTGCTCGCGCGAGTACGCCGAGAACGGTGCTATGTACCTCGAATCGGTACTTCGCAACATTCCGCTGACCGCCTGGCTCAAGCTCTCTGGAAGCAAGTTTGAGCAGTGCATTGGCCTCCCAATTCGAACGAGCGGGCCCGCTGGACTGCAATGGTACAACGCTCTCCTCAACCACACGACATGGAGTGCGATGGAGGACGAGATAGCGCTCTGGCGCGCCTCGGGGCTGCGTCATTTCACGCTCCAGTATGGTACGGGCATCGGCATAGGGGTCACCGAGTCGATTGCTGTAACCAACGCGCTCGGTGTCTCGCTGGCGCTACCGCTCAAAGCCATACCGATGGTGAATCGCTGGGTCTTTCGCACGACGCTCGTTCTGAACGATCTTCTCTACAACGATCTGTGGGCGATAGCCAAGAATACGAGCCTTGTCCGGAGCGCCCCCAACTACTTTGGTCTCACCCACCCGTTCGCGATCGAGGCATATGCCAAGGGACATCCGCTCAATGCCGTCTACCAAGCGCTGCACGACCAGCTTGGCCCACTCGGCAACATTGACGCGATCTGGGTACCACCGCCCCGGGCCCTCGTGGCGGCGGTCACGAGCTTTCGAACAACGATCCTCGCGCACATGCGTGACAATGCATCGGTCGCTGCGCTCGTCCACGAGGCGGCGAGTCGAGGGCTCGTCCTCACGCCGACACCGGTGCGCTGGCAAGACCCGTCACTGCTCTTCTACGGCGGCAACCCCATGTGCGGGGACGGATCCGCTTTGCCGTTTGTGCAGCAGACGTTCGGTTTTGACGACGTCTGCGGCGCCCAGCGCCCGCTTACGGTCGAGTGGCAGGGTCTCAACGGCTTGTTTGCATACCATGCAACGCACTTTTCGACTGCATTCTTTTGCAGTCAGTGCCCCCGCGAAGCGCAGGTCGACTGCGTGCACGGCTACGCTGGTGCACGGCGCGCTATCGAGGCGCTGCCTTTCCCGAAACCGAGTCCGTTTGCGAGCAATGGAACGCTCGACCTCTCGATTGAATTACTTCAGATGGTTCAAACCCCACCCGGCGCGATCGCATTCGAGTACCAGCCGCTGCTGGAGCCGACGTGGTCCTTCTTTGGATGCATGATGCTTTACGACTGGGTGTTGAACCATCGCGAGGTGCTCTCGATGCAAGGCGATGTCCAAGAGCGCCATCTCATCTCGAGCTTCTATGCGCCAAGAGCGTTTGATCCGGTCTTGCCGCCGGCCGGGCTGGGGCCGTACCTCTTACGCTTTGGTTCGATACTTACGTTCACCTTGGCGCTAGTGGGATTGGTCGCGATCTCTCTCTGGCTTCGCGTGCGACCGCGGGGAACGCCGTGGCTAGCGTTTTGGCCCGTCGCAGGCTCGGTCTGGGTCAGCCGCAATCTACTTCTCGTCCGCGGCGTCATGGCTACAATCTGCCTCGCCAGCGTACCCGTACAAGCGATGGCGACGCCATCCCTGCGCCACCTCGCGGCACCGCCTCGACCCTGGTACCTCAGTTGTCTCTTGGCCAGCGAGTCGCTTTGGCTCGTCTACTGTATCCAGGACCTGCTATTGCCCTACACGTACGTGCATATTCGCGCGACAGCGCCGTACACATCCCTTGCTGCGTGGTTGATCGTCGTGGCACTCGACCAAGGCGCGAGTCTTTTTCTTCTTGCGTCCATCGACCGCAGCTGCTATTTGATCAACATGGACAACGCCATGGTATGCAAAAGCGGGTCATTGCAACTCGGGTGGCCCTCGCGTGCGCTGCTCATCCTTGGCGTACACAGTGTTTCTGTGGTGCTGTGTGTCGTATGGACCTTTGCGCATCGTGACGCGGACCGCGTCGCGCCGCACAAGCTACTGCCTCTCTCGGCCGTCGCACCGATTGCATTCGCAGCCAATGCCACCGTCGAGCTCAACGATGTGGGCGCCTGGGTCGCCGGCATGGTGTATCTCCGCTACAACAACGTCGAGTACATCTTTGACTGCAAGCTATGGCGGCTCGTGTCGCTTGAGGACTATAGCATTCATCGACGGCAATTCCGCAGTCAGTTTCACGCTGTTGGCTGTGCACCACTATCTGCCCTGCTTGAGCGTCTGCCTCACCAACCATCCATCTTGTCGGCGTGGTGGAGTCGGCACGGTCTTGGTGGCCACTGTGTTGTTTTAGTAATGGGAATTACGTACATGGTGTTTACCCTTCTTGGCAACGTGGCGTATCTCAAGGTGCTGCAAGGGGCCATGGCCAACGACTTTGGCTGGGCGAGCTTCAATACCTCGGGGACGCACGCCTTTTTGGCCAACTTGTGCAATCGTCACCTGCTCTCAAGCTCGCATCTGTCGACTCTGGAGCTTGAAAGTCGCTTCAACAGCGATCTCTCGCAGTCGTACGCGACAGTGGCATCGGCGACCATCTCATGGTACCCCACGATACCCCGCCGGCAACTCTTTGCCCCCCACCCGGTGCTCGCCGACGTAATCCGCGGGCTTCGATCCATGGACCCGGCACAGCTTCCATGGATGTTCACGCAGTACTGCTGGCTCGACTTGAATCGAACGTGGTCGATGGCATCCACGCCCCGTCGCCAAGCGCGCTGTGCAAGCTCTTCAGCGCACAATGGCGCGCGGTACCTTGAGACGAGTCTTCGCAACGTTCGCGATTGGGACATTTGGTGGTCATTGTGGGGGGACTCGTACTATGTGGGCATCCAAAGGGTTCTGGATGCCACGCTAGCGGGGCGCTCGTGGCAGCAACAAGTGCGCGCCGCCGGTAGCACTTCGATTCTTGACGAAGTGGCGCACTGGCAAATGTTTGGGATCACGACCTTTTTGTTGCAATGGCAAAACTACAAGGCGACGGGCTTTCAAGACGCATTGGTGCTTACGACAGCGCTCAATCTGCAGTACCACCTACCGCTGAGCCACGCGGACATGAACTTTGATATCACGCGACAAACGTCAATGCGCATGTATTGGGGCATGGCCAGCGATTTGTGGGCAATCGGGTCAAATACCACGCGCATTGCAGGCCTCTCGCTGCTCGCGTCGAGTCCGGCGTTTGCGTTTGCCAACACCACGCCCGAGCAGCTGCTTTTCGACAACTATACGCTCGTTGCGCCGCTCTCATCGGGCTTGGCGAGCTTGCAAGCGACACTCGGTCCCTTCAACGTCATTGACATGGTCTATGTGCCGATTCCATCGTCACTCCAGGCCTTGTATGCAGCGCTCGTGCGGGCGGTGGCCAACTTGACCGTCTCGGACCTCAACGCCCAAGCAGCCTATCTGAACCTCCCGATCAAATCCTACATTGGCCACGTCCCCAGCGACCTCTTGAGCGATGTCTCTGCGAAAATTGTGGGCGGCAACATCTTTTGCGGCGACGACATAGCGCCAACGTCACCGTACAGTGCGCTCGCCGCACCGTTTAGCGCCGACAGCTTGTGCCACGCGTGGCGTCTCGAGTACCTCCGGCCGTCCACGACGGGGCTGCTGCTTGCGCTTTTGGGGTATGCAAGCACGCGTGATGTTGACCTTATGGGGGATTTGAATGCCTTTTGCAGCTTGGATGTGTACGCCGAGCCCAACTGCATGGCCATCTACGCGGCCAACTGGAACTTTACGCGCGACTACATGTCATCGTTTATGAGCCTCTCCAAGCTTGCACGGGCGGTTCACGCTGACGTCGAGCCACTCAACATTCGCATGCTTCAGTATGTGACGCGCGGCACGCAGCAGGTCGAGCTCTACGAGCGCGGCTTTTTTGATGCGTCTTGGGATCGCACCTGGCCTTTCTTTGGGTGGTGCTACCTCTACGAATGGGCAATCGGTCAGCGCGAAGTCGTGTCGTTCCAAGGCGACGTTGGCGTCCTTACGACGATCTCGACGCACATGAACCCCGTGTCCATGACGCTAAGTGCGAGTTCGATTCCGACGCAGCTCTCGTACATGTGCCAGCAGTGTGCTCGGTATGTCACGGGCCTGTGCATGGGTGTCACGGGGCTTCTTGGCATCTACGGCCTGTCCGCCCGAGGCGCGATCGAAGGACTCAATTTATTTGAATTCAACCGCATTGTGGGTCATGTCTGGGTCGGTCGGACGCTTTTGGTGGTGCGCAGTCTCACGGCGCTATGGCTCTTGAACACGAGCACGCTCACACTTGGCTTGGTGGGCAGTGCGACGTGCTTCACACTGCCCCCGCTGCCATGGACCAAAACGGTCCTCGCCGCGTCCGAGCTCACATGGCTCAACTACATTCTCAACGACCTCTTGAGTTTCGCGACCGAGCGCATTACGATCTATTACGCGTGGAAGTCGACGTTGTGCACGTGGCTCATTGCAGTCATCTGGACGATCCAAGCGCCGCAGCAGTACAAGGCATCATTGAATCGAACGTGCCATTCGATTGATATGGACAGTGGCCTTGTATGCACCAGCGCACATGTGCAGATTGGGAGCTTTCAGCGCGTGCTCGTCGACTTGGCCATCGTGCTGTCGTCTGTGCTCGGTCTTGCGTTGATCGAGTGGCTTCGACTGCGGAAAAAGGAGTTGCCGAACCGAAGCATCCCGACGCTCCTACTGAGCTCGTCGAGCTTGTACATGTTGGAGCTCGACAACTGGACGCACCTCGGCGAGTGCTTCCTGGACCAAGCCTCCGGCGTCCTCGCCGGTCTCCTCACGCTGCATTGGCACGAACAACTCTATGTATTTGATATCAAGAGCTGGCGATTCTATACAAGGAGCATTCCGGCAACCACAAAGCTCCGACACCGTTTTCGCCGGGCGATCCCGCTCACACAATTTCGGTGAGAGGCGCTCGCACGAGCTTGAGGCTTCCGTAACCACAGATGCCTTCTATATCATGCGTTGATTTAATGTGTTTCGAGGCCCACTGGATGGACGACGACTTGTGTCCAGTTGCCGCGTTTAGCTAAAGCGTGGGGCAGCCAACACGTAGAAGGGACGCCCAGGAAGGGCATACATGTACTCGCTCGCACAGAGCATACGAAAAGGGAAAGGCAGCTAAAATCTATTCAATAAATGACAACAACAAAGTTGTAGCCTCACTCACTGCAAGTTTTTATCTCATTTTTTCCCTCTCGTGAAGTCTTAAAAGACTATGCATGAAAGGACAGACAACTCGTACACATCAGAGCTTGCGACACGGACTGAGCACTTTTGCTGCATGGGTCGTGGGACCAGAAAAAGTCAACTAGAGAAACCCGACGTCACCACAGGCTTTTGCATCTCGACGCCGTCGAGCCTCTCAAACTCGGATTCTGTCGGCATGGTACATCCACTCTTGCAACGTCGTACATGCACCTTGGATTCCGGTCTCGGGTCCTGGCGAGATAGGCTTCGTGCTGCGAGCTTGGTGGTCACAGCTACTGTATACCCTCCCGCAGCCAGTGCCAGTCGTGTGTCAAATGTGTCGACACATCAACAACATGGCCGTTTTCCGAAACGCCATTTCGTAGTCGTATCTTTAGCCCACTGGTGCGCACTTTTTCAAAACCCTTTGGCCATGCGCATTGCAGCGATTCGCCCGCGGCCCCCGTCCCTCGCGACGGCCCTGCACGCACCCATCAAGGTGAGCGATACATCTTGCCTTGAATCTGTGATGGACCACGCGAGCCGCAGGCGGTCGGCAAGTTCAAATCCATCATTGCCACCGAATTACTGCACCTCGCCAAACTCGAAAAGCTTTTGAATGCAACGTGCGAGTGGAAAGCCGAGCTACTGCGGCCGCCATCCGCGCCGCGCATCCGCATCCAAGCCACGTCACGAGGACGACTCATCGGTGTCCTTGCCGTCTACTACATCGTCACGATCGCGCTCGCCTTCACGATCGCCCTGGACCGCACCTCGAGCACGTTTGTGACGCCGCCCGTCACGGCTTCCTCGTCCGTCCTCCTCGAAGTGTCACCCACGACCGAAACAATCAGCATCGAACTCATGTCAAGCTCGTTGGCCTACCTCGATGCGATCCTCAGCAATTCCACAACTGGACTTGGCAACATTTCCATCTTTGCATTCCCCGACACGCCGTCGCAGACCCAAGTGATTCCGTTCGAGAGTCTCTTCTGGTCGCCCACGAGCAACCAATCGATTGCGTCGTCGCCCTTTCCAATCGCGTACGGCGTTCTGTACAAGCTCAAGGTGGACTTGTACAGCAGTGTGCACATCAACGTCTCGATGAGCGATGGAGCTCCCTTTACGGTGTTGGCCCGGACAGGGTACACGGCGCCGTACATGATGACGCTTGTGGGTTCGCTCGTGACGTTCATTAACATCTCGTGTGGAATCTACTTTCGCATGCGCATTCGAACGTTTGCAATCCCGGGGCAAGGACTACCGCAGTGGGACTGGGTCCAACTGCATCTCTTGGCGCTCTTGCTGTGGATCTGTGTCCCGTACGAAGTCGCCGTCTACAAGGCCGTCACACATGGCTTGACCGTCGACTATACCTTTCGCCAGATTGCATTTTGGCTGCGACTTTTCGGCAAGAACGGGTGTCGGCTTGCGGTGCTGCTCTTTTGCGACGGCATGGCAACCATCGAGCCGACGCGCGCCCCGAGTTTTTACGCCAAAAAAGTGCTGGCCGTGGTGGCCCTCACGGCTGTCCAGGGCGCGAGCCACATTGTGTCGTCGCCATCGCTCGTCTTCCCGCTCGTCTACTTGTATACGTGGCTCGAATTTGTTGTGCAGTGTGTCATGGTACTCTGGCTCACGTACCGCCGAGGCAAGCGCGTGCGTCGCCAGCCGTACCGCAGCGCGACGCTCGAGTACACAACATACAGTGTCATTTCCTTCTTGGTCGTGCAGTTTGCGATTGCATCGGCCTATAGTCTCGTCCGACTCTTGGTGGCGGCGGGGACGTCAATTGCGACCGCCGATGCGAGCAACGCCGCGCCGGGTGCGCAGCAAGCAGCTCTGCTCGCGGGCCTCATTCGCGATCAAATGTTTGCGTGGATCCTCCTCAAGTGCTACATTCCTTTACCGCCTTCGTCGAGCGTTCTAGACGCGACCTCGACGGCGTTCTCCCTCACGGAGGCGTCTTCGTCGTCGCCGTCGGTCTTTTGCCTCGAGACGGCGGTGACCATGCTCAACCTCTCGGTTGCTAGTTACTACACTACCCACTTGCATCGACACCACTCTCCATCCTCCTGTGGGCACCTTGGCAAGGACATCCCGGACCTCGACGCCCTCGACTGTGCGCTCCTCGCCGCCTTTCACGACCCCGCAACCGACACCAACGGCATGCTGGTCTACGAAGAGCGCAAGCAGCGCTACGTGCTCGCGTTCCGGGGCACTGGTAGCATTAAGAACGCTGCGACGGACCTCAAGTCGCGCCAGATGCGGCTTCCCGGCACCGTCTACTCGTCGCAAACGATCCGAGAACGCACCAAGGGGAAAAGGCACCCGGCATTTTGTGCACGTGCACTCGGGCTTTTACCACGCGTACGTGACGCTCGAGCGGCATTTGCACGCGGCAATCGGCAAGATTCCAGACAAGAGCGTCGTTATCTGCACGGGCCACAGCCTCGGCGGTGCGCTGGCCACGATCGCCGCCATGGACTTGGCACTGAAGCGGCCCTCGCTGCGCCTCGCTGTGTACAATTACGGCAGCCCCCGCGTCGGCAACCACGCGTTCCAGGAGCTTTTCAATGCGACGATGCCAGCGTTTCGCGTCGTCAACGACGGTGACATTGTCACGCAGTATCCCAAGCGGGACTATACCAACGTCGATCTTGATGGCGTCTGCGTCTACAAGCACGTGGGTATTGAAATCACGCTCATGTGCAGCGAGAACGCGGTTCGAGGGATTATTATCCGGCCAACTTACATTGACCGGTTTTTTGTCCTGGCGCACCGCAACAGCCTCGCGAGCCACAGCCTGGAAAACTACCGCAACAGCTTCCGATCGCTCATGGTCGCCGGCACGGACCGCCTTGGCGTGTCGAGCTGCAACTCGTCGCGCGAAGCAAGCGTCGAGAGCATCGACAAGGTGAACGACAAGGAGGAGCTGGAGCAACAGCGTAAGCATCCGGCGACACCACACGACATCCACCTCGAGCTCTCGACTGATGTGACAGAACATTCGACCGCTGAAGACGCGACCACCGCAGACGCGACCACTATGCATTTGGCGACGGGTCGCGCATAGTCCTAGAAGCGCCTATTATTTCTCTGTGGGTAACGTGGCATCGCCCACATGCAACTCCAGGAGGAGCGTATGCTGCAGGCTGTGTAAGCCTCTTGTATTTCATAATTCACAACGTTGTTGCTGTTTCAACGCAAGTTTTAGGTCATTTTTGCTCCCCTTGTGTCTTCTCGATGGACTATGTATGAAAGGACAGGTACCTCGTATACAGCAGACATGGCGACATGGGCTGTGCTCTGGTGCGGAGTGGGTCATGCGACCAAAACGTGTCAGCAAGAGAAACCCGTCGTCATGTTGTGGCCAACCGAATCTTTACGGTATCGAACCGATCCATTTATCATTCGATGAAGGCAGGCGGATCCTGTCGACATGATTTTGTTAGTCTCGCTAGGATGACGACTCTGTGGACCGCCACGTCATCAATGTTGCGTGTGACTAGCCTTAGTTCGTTTAGTTAGTCGAAAAGGCACGTTTAGTAGGAAGCCCACTAAAGATGCATTTCGACTAATTAAACGACTAACTTCCATAGTAGGAGAGACCGAGCTTCAGGCCGGAAGAATGCAATCACTTTTCGCAGATTTCACGACAGTACCTACATGTAGTAAAGGTTGGATTGTTTAACAAGTGAACAACATGGATTACCAAGACGTCCAGCTAGTAGAAAGCTAGTAGATCGCAACCTTCCATCGCAGTCTTGTCGGTAGCTACTGCACCAGCTACTGCACTGAATACTCGATGATCGATGAGCTGGGGATCTAATGGACCTCCTGGTGCGCTTTTCTGTGTTCGCGGAGCGTATGTGCATCGTCAGCACCTTCTTGCACGCACTGTCTTGAATGCACGTGAGCGGCATGGTTCGTGCTTGGGTCTGGCTTTAAATACGTTGGTTGCTGAACCGCTCCGACTCGTCCAAGCACTCTACATCACAGTCAAAATAATGTTTTCACCTTGATCAACGCTCGCGTCGGTAAAGAGTCACTCGATTGACCGCTAGCCATTGGGAGTGGCGTGGCGGGTTCGAGGTGACGGGGCTAAATGCAAAATGACTATCTACTCACCGCGTCTATCTGGACGGCAAAAACCATCTCCTGGAAAGTACTACGAGCGACGACACAGCACCACGAACGAGAAACGACATCCCGCACAACATATACATTTATATTTCTCGTAAAAATACATTCTTGTTGGGTCAGCCAACAATAATCTGCATACGAGTCGAGCTCCGCAATCCCATGAAGGTCATTCATTGCGTGGTCGGGCTGTAACTTAAACCCACTGCCCACACTCTGGTCCCGCATGTCCCCCTATCAGTCGGGCACGCAATGAAGAGACCACATTTTGCAACACGCTCCGCCAACGAGACTCCATGAAGCACCCGTCGGATGAGCAGACGCTACCGTCGCCCTTCGACCATTGGTCGCCCGACATCGAGTCGATTCCACGTCTCTCGGAAGGCGACCGCGCCGAGACCATCTCAACAACGGACGCGCGGGCGGCACTCGCGACCCGCGCCGAGCTTCGCATGCATTTCCTCAATGTGCCTTTTCCGATTGTACTCTTCTTTGCGTTTGTGTCGGTCGTCCTCACGCACACTCCGATTTACCAAGTCTTTTTTGTCAACCATGGCATCTCGATCGCGATCAGTCCGCTTCCAGCGGTATTTTTTCGACATTCTGTTGACACGACGTACGACCCACCTTGTACATAGGACACGGCCCACCGCCCCGGCACCCTCGAATTTATGAACATTCGGACAGCAGCCGACTTTGAGAGCTGGTTTGAGTTTACCATGTTGCCCGAGATCTTTCCCGCCAAAGGCGCCAACAGTATGATATGAAACGCTTTTTGTATCAGCTTGATATGATCGATGCCTAGATTCAGCCTTGGAGAACGCAACCATCGGACGCATCGGCTCGTACAACCAAGTCGTCGGCGCCGTCGAAGTCTCAGTGCTCAACGCCCCCAAGGCCAAGTGCCCGAGCGACGGTCAGCTCGCATCGCACTATGGTGGCTGCTACGATTTCGAGTCGGATTTCGACATCACGGACGGCGACGTCCACACGCGCAATACACGGCGGCAGCCATGGTACACGCTGTACCTGCCCCTGCAAGAGCCGTTGCCGTACACAAAGTACCGAGCATGGCAAGAGCATGGCAGCATCGGCGGCTACTACATCAACCTCGGCACGCGTCAAATCGATATCAAGATCACCACCTACAACGGCGAGCTCGATATGTTTACGTATCTTCGATTCGCGCTCGAATTTCAAGCCGGCGGCGCCATCGAGCCCAAGTACAGCGTCAACTCGGTGCCGGCCAACCCGTACGCCGAGTCACCCATCAACCTTCTCCCCGACGTCCTCGTTGCCTTGCTTGGGATCCGGCTGGTCGTGCGCCGAATCGTTCAGCTGGCGTCGCGCATGAAAGCTCAGACGGCGTGGGTGACGGCTGTCGACGTCATCGAGTGGCTCTCGGTGGCCTCGCTCGTCGTCTACTATATCGCGTGGATGCGCCTCTTTCAGCGTTGCTTTGCGTCCGACTTTGAAGATCAAGTCGCCGCGCTGCGCACGTTTTATGACAGCGTGTACGCGCTGCCGGTTGCGGACCAATCGGAGGCCATGGCGTCGAGTTCACAGCCGTCTGTGTCGGATTTTATGGACGGATTTGCGCCAGCCCTGAGCTTTTTGTACATGATGTCTATCCTCACGTGCCTCCAGCTCGCTGTCAAGTATGTACATGCAATCGGACTGACGGAATGGCACTCATGGATTGTGTGTGTGTAGTGTCATGTCGGCGCTGCATTTTCACCCGACGATGAGCATCCTCAGCACCACGATCATGGGCAGCGTCCGGCGGTTGGGCACTTTTTTGTTTCTCTTTCTTCTCGTCGTTGTGGCCCTCGCCACGTCCGGGGCCCTCCTCTTTGGTCCCAAGCTGGAGGCTTTTGCGAGTCTCGGCGCAGCCATGGTCACGTGCATCAACATGATCTTCAACGGCTACGAGTACGACCACATCAAGGACATCCATCCGCTTGCCGTCGTGTGGTACTGGCTCAGTCAGTCGATCATTACGCTCGTACTTGTCAACATTATGCTCGCGGTCATCATCTCGGCCCACGAAGATGTTGTTCACGTCGACCACGGGTACGATATTGCTCAAGCGTTCGAATTCTTGATGCACAATTTGACACTTTTTACGAATAGAAAACGATCGTTTCTGCAAGAGATGCTATGGGTGCTGCGCGACGTACTGCATACCGACTGCGTCTGCAAGGGCCGTCATGTCCTGCGGCTTCAAGAGCGCTTGGCGATTGATAACGGCACCCGCGTTTGGAGAGCGGCAGAGATTGCGCAAGCAATTGGCATTTCGGACGCGCAAGGTGCCCGCTGGGTTCGCACACTCAAGCAGTTTGCTAGCGTGCACACCACCGCGAGTGCCGACACGTTCGAAGACGCTACGACTCCGCCATTGGACGAAATGGCGTACCGCCGGCGACTCGAAGACCGCATCAAATTCATCGACGCCAAGCTCGAAGTCCTCGTCGAGTACATTCAGCTCCACGAACACCAGCGTATGCTTCAACATGTGTAGTTTTCATCGATTGCTCAGTCATATGGTTCCAGCATCTTTCAAACACGTCAAAAGCGCAAATCATGCGTTTAGGGCTGCAATGGCTCAGTAAAATAGCTCATGGATACTCGCTTTCATCGGCACCAGGTTCAATAACCGATTGATTGACTCTTGGTCAACATCAGCGATCCACGGTGCTAAGATCTTGGTCGGGCATCCAAGCGTCAAATACGTAAAGTCGTCCGACTTCTGAGTCGCAGAACAAATGATTCTGCACATCTGTGTTCAATGCAAACTTCACCACACCTGTGTATGGTCGTCAACATCCGTTGTCAATGGGCTTGAAGTACCGAATGCGGATTCGTGCAGTTCGAAGATGGCCCAGAGTGGCTTGATGGCATTGAACGACGACGTGGTATGGGTAACAAGTTCCTGTTGCAAAGCCGAGTAGCTACGACTCGGCATAGACGCTGCATTGATTCGACACGCTGCCGTCAAGGTCGCTCGAGACTAGACTTAGTGGCACCGCGGGCGAAAGCGCAGCGTGCCTGGCCCTGCCTCTATGGCAGCGATAAATAAAGTTGTCTCACACGCAAACAAAACTCCGAGAGCCACTGAGCTGAACGAGTATCGTCCCACAACACGATCCCAAACAACCTTTCTGACGTGGCAGCTGACACGCTCAGTGCCACCGTGGTCGGCTGATGCATTGCAAAGATACCTTTTTCAAGAAGAGTGGGATCGTCACGCGGTTCCAGCCAACGCCTTCAACATATCGCGGGTCTTTACATGTGGACACACCGCTGGACCATCAGCAACATCCCACGTGCAGTGGAGTGTCTGCATCGCCATCCACCTCTCCATGTACACCTTTTGTGGCCTGTGCCATGCTACTCGAGGCGATGGTTTCGATACCGCAAGGCGCCTCCGATGTCCTTTCACAACTGCATTTACCATGACGGTGCCAACAACGACGTTTGTTGCGGCGCGGTCACCGAGGGACTCGACCATCCTCAAGATCCAAGACGACGACGGAAAAGACATTCTGGCCGACGCACCCACCGATGTCGTCGAAGGCTGCTCCGTGCCATTTATGTTCCTCATGTGTGCGCCATGCATGGCCATGAACATGGCGTGGGCTGCGCAGTGGGCAGCCCTGGGTCCGCTGCTTCAAATTCTGTTGCCGTCGACCGCAGTGCAGCTCGTCCAGCTCGTCGGCCCCGTCACCGGCGTCATTGTCACGCCGGTCGTCGGCGTCCTCAGTGACAATTGCACGTCCAAGTACGGTCGCCGCCGTCCGTTCCTCTTTTGGGGCGCCATCTCGAGCGCGCTCTGCTGGCTCGTCATGATGTTTTCAGTTGACATTGGCGAAGCGCTCGGCGATGCCAACGCGACCGACATCGCTGCGAACCCCGAGACCGCGTCTCGCAAGTGGACGACGGTCCTTGTCGTGCTCTGCTACGTCTGGATGGACATCACGGTCAACCTCACGCAAGTGCCCAACTCGCTCATGATTGCCGATTTTGCGGGCCATCGCCAAGTCACCGCTGCGTCGGTCAACGGTGCATATGCGACCGCCGGCTCGTTTTTTGTCTCGGGCTACATTCTTGCGTGCGGCCCGGCCCACCAGTCGATCAAGCGGTTCCTTTCCGTCCTCATTGCCATCATGCTCACAACGTGCTTGACCGTGTGCGCGTTTGTCAAGGAGAAGCCCGTCGATCGCGTCGCGCTTGGGTCCGCAACCAAGCGCGAGCAGATTGCGACCGCGTTTGCCGCTGTCTGGAACGGCATTCGGCTGCTGCCCAAGCACCTCGCCATCTACTGCATCATTATAGTCTTCTCGCAGTACGGATTCACGGCCTACAGCGGCGCGAAAGGGCAGTTTTTCGGTATTGTCGTCAAGGGCGGTGTCTCGGACGGTGCCGACTCGTGCGGCCAAGCCGACAACCCCGCGTGTACTTCGGAGCAAGCAGCTTTCAACGAAGGTGTCGAGCTCGCGGGCGGCTACACGGACACAATTTACAGCTGCGTGGGGCTGCTGGCGTTGATGGCGCTTCCGTTCTTCGTGCGCAAATTTGGGGTCAAGGCCGTGGTGACGACGGCGCTGATTCCGCAAGTGCTGTTGTGCGTCTTGGCATTTTGCAAGGTCGTGATCGTTGACATGATCATCGTCATCACGTGCAGCATTCCCCAAAACGTCATTTTGTACATGGTGATGCCGATCATTATCCACGTGATTGGCCACAGCACGGACAACAACCTTGGTATGTTTGCCGGTGCGCTCAACTCGGCGCTCTGCGCGGGCCAGTTTCTCAACTTTATCTTTTCGTCGGTGCTCGTTTTGTCGCCCATGGGCTACGCACTTCCCGTCCTCGTCGGCGGCGTCCTCTCGGCCGTCGCGTTCTTGGTATCGCTCTTTCTCTGGGACATCCAGTCGTACACGATGTAATAAGACAACTCGTGCTTTGTTTATGTTGTTACATAGCGTTGTGGTGAGTGCTTGGTGGCGAAATTCGTCGACATGATTTTTGCAAGTCGACAAAGGCATTGGTGGCAACCATGGGTGGCAACCGTCACACGCACTTGGTCGCCAAAGCGACAACAGCTGCAGAGCTCTACGGCCCGTAGCGAGGCCAAAAGGAAGTGGTGTGAGGATTCCTTTGTTTATACAATTCACATTCAGATGCCTAGAGGTCGTTGCACGTGGGACACGAGGCCGCTCTTTACGGACACCACACGAACGAGGTAAACTTGACGCAATCTTCTTGAGAGTACGGTAGCGCTTGCTTGGTGAGCGGCCAAAAGCACGTGTTGGTATTGCCGGCGCAGTCATCGATCGGAGCGCCAGTCGGTTGCGACGTCGGCTTGTCAGTTGGCTTCTTCGTCGGCTTGTCAGTTGGCTTCTTCGTCGGCTTGTCGGTTGGCTTCGTCGTCGGCTTGATGGTGGGCTTGTCGGTTGGCTTCTTCGTTGGCTTGTCAGTGGGCTTGTCGGTCGGCTTGGTGGTCGGCTTGTCAGTGGGCGTGTCCGTCACGGGCCCATCCGTGATCGGGTCCACCGTCACGGGCGCCGACGTCGGGTCAGTCGACGACCCGTTGCGGATGTTGTCGTACTTGGACGTCGGGTAGTGGAGGTTGTTGGCATCGAACGCCATGTGCTCCTTCCCAAACGTGTCGTAGACCTGCGAGATGAGCGACCGCGGGGACCCGGCCTTGGCGTCGGCGTCGCCCGACCAAAACATGGTGCCACCGAGGTTGTACTTTTTGATGTACTCGAGCTTCATGGCGAGACTCTCGGGCGAGTCGTAGGACGTAAATGTCTTGGCGGCTTGGTCGTAGCTGTAGGCGGCGCCGAGCTTGGCGTCAAACACCTCTTTGGCGCCCGCGCGCGGCAGCGCCTTGTAGTCCCAGATGCCCTTGCCGTCGTTGCCAGAGACCCACGAGCCAGCCGTGGGTGCCGTGAACTTGTCGTAGAGACCCGATGTGCCTTCGAACGACCGACCGTAGGCGGGAATACCCATGACGATCTTGTTGCTCGGGCACCCGCCCTTGATGTAGTCTTGGATTGCACCATGGGCCGAGTACTTGGCGCCAGCCGGGTGGTTCGGGTCCTCAAACAAGTTGGCTTGGTGGTCCGTGTACGCGCTCCAGCTGCCCGCCATGTCGTACGTCATAATGTTGATAAAGTCGAGCTGCGCGCAGACCGCCTTAAAGTCCCAGTGACGGTAGTTGGCGGGACCTGCCGGCGACGCGACACTCAGCTCGGCCTTGAATGGCAGCTTGGCGAGCTCGGTCCGGATCGACGTCAAAAGCGCCACAAAGTTCTTCATGTCGTCCGGACGGTGCGGCACGGGCGGCGAGTCGTTCCCGCCCTCGACAGGGTACTCCCAGTCAATGTCGATAAAGTCGAGGCCGAGGTCGAGCATGAGCTTGACCGAGCTCTTGGCAAACGTCGACCGACCCGCTTCGGTGCTGGCGATGCCGCTAAACTGGTCGCTCAAGGTCCAGCCGCCGATCGAGAGGCCAAACTTGGTACCGCGAAACTTCTTCTTGAGCTTGTTGGCTTGGCCAAACTGACCATACACGTTGTTGCCCGTGTCGCTCCACGAGTCGTCAGGGTACCGCTTGTCGGTCGCAGCCCACGTGTCGTACAAGCCGACGGTGCCGTCCGCGGCGGGCTTGCCAAAGGCGTAGTTGATGTGCGTGATGCGCGACCAGTCGAGATCGAAAATGTGAAAGTTGCGGCCGTAGATGCTCCACTCCATAAAGTAGACGACGTTCTTGAGACCAGTGGCATCGACGGACGACGCCGCGACCGCGAGAGCAAGCAGCGAGGCGGGCTTGAGAACGGTCACCATGATGCCGACAACGATATTTGGAAAATGAAGAGAGTGCCCTTGTGTCTTGTGTCGGGTCTGAGAAACAAGATCGAACCGAGATCTGGTGGGCGAACGGTTCGAATTGGCGCCAAAGGCGTGTGGACAGGTAGAAAACCGTGGAACTCGCATCCAAGATGCTGCAAGTGGGGCAAAGACACGTCATCGCTGTCGCGGATCGTCACGCTCTATGCGTCCTCCCAATAGCGCGAAGGACACGCGTCAGGTTCTAAATCAACTCGACTTGTAGACACCAGCTACGTACTTCGCCGCACTACGGGCCGCATATCTCGGAAGCAAGGGACAGCACACACACCCTCCTCTGCAGTCCTGGTGTGCCCCCACAAAACAAACACGTGAATGCAAGAGCACCATTCTTAGAGCTTGCAGAAATAAAAAAGTTGGACGAGATGGGCGGCACGGAACAGACACGCTGGATCGACTAGGGGCACCACACAAACGTGCCCTTGAACTTGTTGCAGTCGCTCTTGGTGTACGCGAGCGGTAACTTGGTCATGGTCAGTGGCCAAAAGCACGTGTTGCGATACCCTGCGCACGCGCTGCTCGATGGACGGCGCGGCGCGACCGTCGGCGTGGGCGCTTCAGTGGCTGGCGCTTCCGTTTCATCTTCGGCCTCCTCGTCCGGCGCGTCTGTGGTCGCTGGTAGCGCAGTCGTCTCAACGACCGTTGGCGCAACCACCGGTGCCTCAGTGCCAGTCGACGAGCTGTTGCGGATGTTGGCATACTTGGATGTTGGGTATGCCACGTTGTTGTCGTACAAGGCCATCTTGTCTCGACCAAAGTGATCGTGCGCCTGCGCAATCAGCGATCGCCCGGACGTCAATGGCGCGTCAGCGTCGCCCGCCCAAAACATGGTGCCACCGAGGTTGTACTTTTCAATGTACTCGAGCTTGGCTGCGAGGCTCCGGGGCGTCTCGTAGGACGTAAACACGCGCGCGTTGGCGTCGTAGCTGTAGCCTGCACCGAGTTTCTCGTCGTAGAGCTCGGTCGCGCCCGGTCGCGGCAAAACCTTATAGTCCCAGACACCGGCGCCGTCCGAGCCCGCGACCCACGAGCCGGCCGTTGGCGCTGCAAACGGCGTGTACAAGCCGTGCGAGTTCTCAAACGACCGGCCATAGAGCGGAATGCCCATGACGATCTTCTCGCTCGGACAGCCGCCGGTAATGTAATCTTGCACCGCGCGGTCAATCGAGTATTGCTTCCCGGACGGATGCTGCGGGTCCGCAAACAAGTTGTTTTGGTAGTCGGTGTACTCGCTCCAGCTGCCCGCGAGGTCGTAGGCCATCAAGTTGACGTGGTCGACCAGCCCGCACACGGACGGAAAGTCCCAGTGCGCGTAGTTCTCGGGCCCGGCCGGCGACGCGACACTGAGCTCGGCGAGGAAGGGCAGTGACGCATATGCGTCACGGATGGCCTGCAGAAGCAGCACAAAGTTGGCCATATCGTCGGGTGCGTGCGGAATCGCATTGCCGCCCGCGACCGGGTACTCCCAGTCAATGTCGATGAAATCGAGGCCAAGGTCGAGCATGAGCTGGACAGCGCTGGACGCGAATGTTCGGCGGCCCATCTCGGTCGCCGCAAAGCCGCTAAAGAGACCGCTGAGCGTCCAGCCGCCGATCGAGAGCCCAAACTTGGCGTGCCGGTGCGTCTTTTTCATCTTGTTGGCGTGCCCGAATTGGCCATACACGTTGTTGCCGAGATCGTTCCACGAGTCGCCGTGGTCAATGTAGCGCTTGTCGGTCGCGGACCACGTGTCGTAGAGCTGGACGGTACCGTCGGCGTTGGGCTTGCCAAAGGCGTAGTTGACGTGCGTGATGCGTGACCAGTCAAGATCGAAAATGTGAAAGTTGCGTGCGTAGATGCTCCACTCCATAAAGTAGACGACGTTCTTGAGGCCGTCGCGGGCCACGCACGGCGCGACGACGCAGGCAGCAGCGAGCAGCTTGGAGATCACGCCCATGCTATCAAGTGGCGAGACGGAGGCAAAAGCGAAAATGAACTACTCGACATGGGAGTTTTGCAATTTTTCATGACGTGGCAGCACGAGCGGTGTGAAACGACTGAACAACGACTTTGTGAGGTTCGCCCGAGATACCCAGGAAGCTAGCGCCTGCAACTGCGAACATGCGACGGAAGGACGGGCAAGCGCACGTTGGTTTCCAGCTCGTTCGAAGCCGCCACGCGAGCAGAGTCGAAAGCACGCCCGGGTCGTTGCGGATAGCGCTTGGTCGTGACGATCACTCGCTGCAACGACCTGATCTCGGACGGGACAGAATATTATTGTGAAGGGTCGCCCTTTGACTAGCAACGTGCCCTCTTGTAACATAGGATGGTACAAGCAACGGAAGACGTATTTTCCAATCGAATTGGACATTATTGTACATCGAATTTGTCATAAAATACACGCTATTAGTGCGCTTGGTACGAAGCACCGGCACCAAGCGCCGGAAGCTCGGAGCACGACCGCTCTGGTGTGAGAATCGAGATGGAAGCCTTCAACTGAGAACGGGAGAAACGACTTGCTGGTCCAAAAGAAGGCGACTCCGATCGGAGATTGAACTCGGATTGAAGCCCGAAACCGATTGTGTGCTGCCGCCATATCTTTGTATCAAGTTGAAACTCACCGCTTCACTGATATTTCATCTGCGTTTCCGGAGCACTCGAAATGAAGACAGCGATTCTACAAGTCGAACGACGTTGCACGGCACAGACGTCTCGTATCGAGCATCTCATGGGCTTGCAGCGTGCCGAGCCGCCATAGTTCATACACTCGAATACTATCGTTTGGTTCCTTTTCGTATGTTTTTGAGTTGGTCCAGAATCTTCCTAATGTGGCGCGTGCATTTGTTTCCAACCAGAAAATCTGAGGGTGGCGCGTGCACAGTTGAGTTTTCTGGCTCAGATACGCGGTCGATAGACGGTTGACGCCAAGGGCGCGAACTTTCGCCCCTACCGACTGGCACTTGCGCGTGTTTATTGACGCGTTGGGCGATGTACGAACGCTACCATGTTGATTGAAGCAACAGTTCGAAACACCACCTGTAAAGGCTCAAGTACTACTTACTGATCCCGGTCGAGGTGGAAGGTACATCAATATCGTATATATTCTTGAAAAGACTCACCTGACGTGTTTTGGAGACGACGGGACGCATCCCACTAAATGACTGTATACAGCACTGCGAAATTCCAAACAAGTCGGTCAAAAGGCACCGTCTCCTTTACACAAATACCAGAGCTCCAAACATCGCACACACTGTCCCAGTTAGTTGAGAAGGGCGCGGTTATTTCGAATGCGCGATTTCAACAATTGCGTAGTATAGTCCTCACGTCGCATGCGATCTTTGCCGTTGGCCGTAGACAATACCACTATCCGCGCCAAAAAGCCGGTGCACCGTCACTTCTAACCGCACATTTTTCTGCAAACCCAGCTGTTGTTGCCACAAAGTGTGCCGATGATGATGGCACCCCCTATGATCGAACGTATGAGACCTCTCAAGAAGTGGCCATCCCCGATCGAACCCTCCGGCTCGTCGCCTAGCAGCGGCCTCCAGATCCTGCACACCAAGTCTTCATTATCCAAATATCTTTGTCTGCATCATGGTGACCCTTCTCAAGCCCGCCTCGCTGCTTGCTCTCGCGGTCGCGGCGTCGTCCGTCGATGCCACTGGTCTCAAGAACGTCGTCTACTTTATGGAGTGGAGCATCTACGGCCGCAACTTTCACATTTTCGATCTCGACTGGTCGCGCATCACGCACATCAACTACGCCTTTGGCAAGCCCGCCGCGGACGGCACCGTCGGCTTGTACGACACGTGGGCCGCGACCGACAAGCGGTACCCTGACGACTCGTGGAGCGACACGGGCAACAACGTGTATGGTCAGTTTGGCCAAGCCAACAAGCTCAAGAAGAAGTTTCGCGGTACCAAGTTTGGCCTCTCGATCGGCGGCTGGACGTTGAGCGACCAGTTTAGTGCCATCGCCAGCACCGAGGCCGGTCGGTCGACGTTCGCCAAGAGCTCGGTCAAGCTCATGCTCGACCTCGGCCTCGACTTTATCGACATTGACTGGGAGTATCCTGTCGAGGGCGGGAACGACTCGCCGCCCGTGCCGCACCGTCCGGACGACATGAAGAACTTTGTGGCGCTTCTGACGGCGATCCGGACCGAGCTCGCCAAGCTGCCGTTCAAGGCCGAGCTGAGTGTCGCGTCGCCGGCGGGTCCCGCCAACTACCGCCACTGGGACTTTCAGGCGGTCTGCGCGCAGCTCGACTTTATCAACATCATGACGTACGACATGGCGGGCAGCTGGAGTGCGTACACGGACCACCAGGCCAACTTGTACGAAGACCCGAACCACCCCGCTGGCGCCAAGTACTCGGCCCATGGCGCGATCCAAGACTACATCAAGGGCGGGTGCCCGAGCAACAAGATCGTCATGGGTATTCCGGCCTACGGTCGGTCGTTCGAAGGCACATCGGGTCTCTACGGCAACTTTACGGCACCCACGGCTGGCTCGTGGGTCTCTGGCAACGACGGCAAGGGTGTCTGGGACTACAAGGCGCTGCCGCGCGCGGGCGCCAAAGAGGTGTTTGACGCCAAGCTCGGCGCCGCCTACAGCTACGACGATGCCGCCAAGACCTTTACGTCCTACGACTCGCCCGAGAGTCTCGCCATGAAGCTCGAGTACATCAAAAAGTACAACCTCGGCGGCACCATGTTTTGGTCGGGCGACGCCGACGCCAAGGCCGGGTCCCCGCGGTCGCTCATCTCGCAGGTCTACGACACGTTTGGGAAGGAGCACATGGCGTTCGACGCCAACAACCTCAACTACCCGACGTCCAAGTACGACAACATCCGCAACGGGTCGTCGACAGACCCGACGCCGGCGCCGAGCAGCGACAAGCCGACGTCGGCGCCGGTGACGGTGGACCCGATCACGGATGGGCCCGTGACGGACACGCCCAGTGACAAGCCGACCACCAAGCCTACTGGCAAGCCCACGGACAAGCCGACGAAGAAGCCATCTGATAAGCCGACGACGAAGCCAACCGACGAGCCCACCACCAAGCCGACGAAGAAGCCAACCGACAAGCCGACGAAGAAGCCAACGGACAAGCCGACGTCGCAACCGACTGGCGCTCCGAGCGATGACTGCGCTGGCAACACCAACACGTGCTTTTGGCCGCTCACCAAGCAAGCGCTCAACTACAGCAAGGACGACTGCACCAAGTTCAGTTCGTTTGTGTGGTGCCCATAAGCACGCCATCTCGTCATCTGTTTGGATATTACCTATGCGTACAATTCCATGTCGATTTTACATGTCCTATGCATTCTATACATCGCGTATCTGGCTTGTTCTTCAGCGCCACGACGGCAAACTGGCCGACTGGAAATGAGGGGTAGGGTTACAAGAGGGGTAGGGTATTTAGTAGCACGCTCTATGTGCAGCTTTAACAACGGAATGGGCGATGTAATTTCTATTCAATTAAATATGAATGAATGCAACTACTCGCTGGGAGCGTGGACGGTCCAGATCGCTCGGCCGTCTTCGCCCGGAACGCGTCGCAGGCCGGAAAACGTCTTCGCCGGATCGCGCTTCTCAAAGAACGCCTCGAGCTGCCGGAGCTGCGGGCCGCGAAGCCCGACCATTTCTTTGGTAGCCTTGGCTTCTTGCATGAGCTTGTTGACGTTGCCTTCCATTTCGCCAAAGACCGACTCGATGCGGTCGACGATCTCGGTCGCGGCCTTGGGAACCCCGAGGACCCCGAGGAGCTTGGTGATCTTGTCGACGCCGCGGAGGAGCGTAAAGCCGCCTTGAATCAACGGCAAGTACCGATCGACAAATGTAAAATAGTCGTCGGTCTTGGTCGAAATGGCAATCGGGTAGACCCCTTTGGCCGGCGCGAGATCGCCCGTTGCTTCGTCCAGAAGGTAGAGGTACATGGTCTCCTGCATAAAGAGCTTGTTCTTGAGCGACCCGATCGCATCGACTTGGCCGCGAAAGCAGTCGAACAGCGACGTGGCTTTCACTTCGGGCGACGCTTTCGTCTTGGCAAGCGTCGTCACAAACTTGAGTACGTCGTCTTGGAGCTTGGTCGGCGGGACACTGGCGCTGGCACCGGCTTTGCACGGAAGCAGCACAAAGCTTGTCGGGACGTGAACTTCGGTGGCTTCGTACATGGCGTGCATGAGCGTCTTCTTCGACGTCGTGATCGCCGAGAGCACCTTGTCCGTGTTGCTATCGTCATGCGCCATGATGCGCGCGCTCGACTCGTGGATGCTGCGCGTCAAGCTCTCTTTGACTTTGGCGACTTCTTCCAGGATTTGAAAACTCATGTCGGACGCAGGTCCTGTCGCGTCGGGTGCAGTAAAATACGGGTGGTCGACGACGTGAGACAAGGGCAGTCGATCCGCCGGCGCAACGCGCAACAAGCGGCCAATGAGGTCCCGCGCCAAGGGATGCGGCACCTTGGCACCAATGCGGGCGACAAGGGCGTCGTCCGTCCAGCGCAGCGCTTGGAGCATCTGGCTCGCCTCAAGGTCTTCGTCGCGGTTGGAAAGAAGGAGTGGCGTGTTGTCGACGCTGCAGAGCTTGAAGAGCATGCACCCGAGTGCCCAGAGATCGAAGGCCGGCGTCGCCTCCACGAGACTATACGGTAGCGGCGGGAGGTCATGGGCGCCATCGCCGTGAAAAGCCCGGACCACCACGTTGTCGGGGCTGGGCTGCATCTTGGCCCAGAGCTCGCGTTGATTGTGCTGGTGCTTCCACGCGGTGCCCCAGTACACTTGATGCAGTTCTTGCTCCTTCGGTGACTGGAGCTTGTAAAAGCACTCGGGCGGGAGCGTTCCAGAGGTAAACTTGGCCCCGAGCGCCATCTGACCGTGGGCGCACGACGCATCGAGGTCGATGAGCTTGAAGCTGTCTCCGAGGCGAAGTACCTTGTGCATTTTGACATCGCCGTGGACGACGTTGGCCGCATGAAGCGTCGCGAGCGCTTTCGCCACTTGGTGCATGCACTTGCGCGTCTTGGTCGCAGACGGCCGCTCCTTCCGGAAGACATCTTCCAGCGACCGCGCGGCAGGCGGCATCACAATCAAGTGCTTGTAGTCGCTCAAGTCGAGGTACTCTGTCGGCGCAAAGCTTGCGAGCGCCGATGCTATCTCGTCCGATGTCGCTGTCGGGAGGTGCGGCACAATGTACGCCGGGTTGAGCACTGTGGTTGCGCGCGCCGCGAGCTCGCGGCGGTAGTCGGCGGGAAAGCGCATAAACTTGAGAGCGACTTTGAATTTCTCGCCAAAGGTTTGGCTGCAGTAGCGCAGCCACTCGACCTCGCTCAAGGCGCCGCTCTGGTCCTTGTCCCAGCGTTTGTACGTCTCGTTGAGTTGCTACACCACGACGCCATACATGTCAAAAATTGAAAAAATGGAAAAGGCAAAAATACGTACATGGTCGAGCGACTCGTTGTCGGCGCTGTGGTTGGAGAGGTGCTGACTCGCCGCCTTGAAGGCAGCGCAGTCGAGCCCAACGTCCGGTACTGCGTACAGGGCGTACAGCTGCTGGTAGAGGCGGTAGTCGGTCGCAAACACCACCATGGCGCTCTCACTCCGGTGCATTGGCGGCCCCGTGTAGAGCTCGTATCGGCCACAAAACATGAGCTCGTCGTAGAAGAAATACCGCGTCGCCTTGTCGGCAATGCTAAGCGCACGCCGCCCTTGCTCGTCCTTGGAGAGGGAAAATTGCGAGTAAAGTTCGGTCTTGGCCAAGGACGCAAACATGGGCTGCGCAAACAGCTCCTTTAGCACCGTCGTGCGAAGCCCATCCGGGAGCTTGAGCGAGCAGTCGAGAAGCGTCGTCCACGTAAAGTGCTGATGATGGCCGATGTCTTCGAGCACCGACGTGTCGACCGCAATCGCATCGACAAAGGACGTTGTCGTCTTGACGCTGAACGGAAGGTCCGAGAGGACAATGTTGAGGGCCGCTGGCAGCGTGAGCTTGGGCGCGACATGCTGCAACACGTGCTTGCCCTACGTGCATCGTTGAGTTTTGCAATCTTGATATTTTGATACAAATCGAAAAAAAGCGTACCTTGAATTTGAGCTGCACCGGGGCACGGGCTTCAAAACACGCGACGGCGGCCGAGAGCGCTTTGCGCTGCAGGGCGTATTCGTACGCCCGGAGCTTGTGCTGCGTCTACAATATCTTGGACCTCTTGGTCTATAGTAACATGGGTACCTGCGGCAAGATGGCGTTCGGGTCGGCACCGTGGCTCAAAAGATAGCGCAAAATACACAACTTGGTGTCGTCGTTCGGCGTGCGGGGCGTCGCGTGCTGAATTGCATAGTAGAGAAAGAGTTCCATCTAATAGCATGGACAATAATGTCCACAATATCCCGAGAACGAGGCACGCACCATGTCCGAGGCGAGAGGCGTTGCCAGTTGCTCGATCAGGAAGGTCGCCATGGTCGCGCGGCCATAGGCAATGGCCACCACCACCACCGAGTACGTCGTCTCCATGAGCTCGTCCTATTAACGAGTCCCGTCACGAGAAATGAAAAAAGTTGCACATACCAAATGCCACACGGGGTAGCTGCCGGTCGCGCCGAGCACCACCAGCTGACGCACGACCTCGTCGCAGCCGGCCTTGACAGCCACACAGAGAAGATATTCCTTCCACTACGCACGCCAACCATGACATTGTGTACACAAACCAGTAAACGGTCTTTACCTGGACGCGCCAGTCGACAAGGCTGCCCAAGCCTTTCGGGGACTTGACCGTCATGGCTTTCGGATGCACGAGGGCGGCCCACTTGCGCGGGTTCACGGCTGAGAGGATATCGTCGAGCTCATCAAGCTTAGCTGGCTACACAGCAGTGTAAGAAACGACAACGCGTCACGAGTTGTACATCGTAGGGTTGCTTGGCGTCGACAGTAACGAGTAACGCGACGGCGTCGGCGAGGAAACCAGGTTGCACGAGCCGGTCGTCTTCGTGCTTGCTGGACATGCGCCGCGGCACCCCCAGAGGTACAATCGGGTGCACCTACCGCTGCATGAGCGCTTTAGCATCGACTAAAGAGGCACCAAGGCAGGGGCGTCGTTGTCCGTCATTTTTTGGAGCATGTGTTGTTGCATCGCCGGCATATTTGCAAATGGTCCCCAGATCCATCCTGCTCATCGGTCAACGTCGAAACGCAGCATCAAACGCTCCATTCTCGCTCCCGGCGTTGGGCGGAGATGTCAGCACCGTGTTACATGTTGTCATCAGGGCCCTTCTCGCGCCAACGAGCGCGTGCTGGGACTGGACTGCTTGCCGCTGCGTCCTGAGGGTGTCCCACTGACATGCATATGCTCGATCTCGGCCCGAAACGACGGGCCGCGCCGGCGCTTCTTGGGCGGCTCAGCATACAGGCTGTCAGTGGCTGCATCGCTCGTGAGCAGCATAAGGCTGTCATTAAAGTAGACGTCGTCGTCGGAGGCGGCCATGTGCATGGCGGCTACTCTATCACAAGGGGCAGTGTTAAAAACAGCTTCGGGCTGTTTTCAAGCAGTGGAAGAGGTTTTCCGCGCAAGGACGAGCGATCTAGAAGACCAGTTACAAGTTCGAACAAAAGCCAAGACCCAGGCGCAGAGCACGCAAGCTCACGCCATTTCCAAATTGGTAGTGTCAGTCAAACAACTAACCCGCCTCGCCCACCACCGGCATGGCGGACACCAACACGGTTGTTGCCCCCAAGTAGTTCGGTCTTGATTGCGGAAAAATTTATTCGCTTTAAAAGTAATAAGCCCAAATTAGCACCGTGCAGGCGGCGTGATGGTCACCTGCAGCCTCACGTGTTGGTAGCGAGAGCGTTTTGGCGACCGTATCAAAAAAAATGTGCAATTGTGTCACCTGATAGCACGATAACAAACTTTTCGCCTGGCATGTTCACACTGGATGGCTACCAAAATTGCATTTTCATCGAAATCTCGGATCGACCGCGAAGCCATCTCAGATTGCATCTGAGATGATTCTGAGATCTCGTGACCTCCAAACATGCGCGCGACATCACGTCACGTGGCAAAATCCTATACCGTGACAACCATTCCCTTTAGAGCTTGACGTCATCGTCAGTAAGGAAAATGCGCTTCGTGTTTGCGCCCATCATCGCTCGGCGCATCGCTCGTCGTCGTGAAGCTGCCCGTGAAGCCGCCCGTGAAGCCGCTCGCTGGGCACGTTGCCGGCGGATTCTCGCTTCACTCTTGCGGCTTCGGGACTTCATGGACGAGCGCAACTTTCTGCACTCGTCGAGTCTTCTTCGCGACCAAGAGAGGTATCATTTTTACGCACCCCGTGACGACTCGTCGTTTATCTCGCCCGTGTCGATCGACGGTACCCTTATTTGGCGCCATAACTGTCCAGATCTTGGAACGACGGCGACGTGACCCGGACCTTACAAGCTATGATAGCTCTTCAAGCGCAACCCGAAGGCCACACGCAAGGTCAAGGGCAAGGGCAAGGTCGAGGCGCAGATTCCTCGATCATGCAAATGATGCTCATGATGGACCAAATGTCGCAACGCCGTCAAGACGAGCGCGAGGATAGAGAGGTAAGGCGCGAGGCTGAACGAGAAGCCCGTGAAGCTGCACGGACTCGTGACCGCGAAGAGCGCGAGGCGCAATGGCAGCGCGAGCAAGCACGACGCGACGAGCGTCGCCGTCAGGAAGATGAGCGACGTCGCCAGGATGCAGCCCGTCGCGACCGTGCTGACCACCTTCAAATGATGATGATGGCTCGGATGTTAGGCGGGACGATGCATTAGGAAGACTAGAAAGAGGATGATAACATCGCCATATATCCGTCAGACAATAGTTGTATTGAATGCCGCGGTCGAGCGACGACAAGGTGTCCCTCAAGCTCGACGGGTAGTGCTGATGGGATTGGAATACTGAAGTAGCAACCGTTTTTAGTAAATGAACCAGCACTGATTTGAGTTCACGGAATTGCATCACCGCTGTATTACCAAATGTACAAACTCTGAGATCGATCGCTAAGAGACGGCGGCGAGTTTGCTCTGGATGAGCGCCTCGAACATGCCAGCGCCTTTTTGAAAATGCCCCAGGAGGCACTCGGTAAAGACACCTGGCGGCAGCGAGAGGCTGTCGTCCGTCGCATTGGGCGGCAGCATGGGCGGTCGCATCTGCGCGTACGTCAGCAGCCGACACGTGCCATCGCCTTGGTCACTCACGACCATCCTACGCACCAACATGGACTTTTTCATACGTTCGGTCAAGGTCGTCAACATACCAGGAAGCTTCGTTGCCGACCAACTGCTGCGGGTTCCACGGCATCAGCGCGTCCTCGAGGATCGAGCGCCACACGAGGACGACCCGCGACGATTCCACGTACTTGCGCGCCGCAATCCGCCCTTGAATCGGCGGAAAGTGCACCGGGAACGTCGTCGCAACGTAGTGTGTATACGTCATCTCGGTCCCAAACGATTCGTTGAGCTACGTAACCACAGACATGATCGACATGGTCGACACCTCGTAGCCTACTGTGCTGGACAAGCCGTACTCATCCGGCATCGGCGTGGTAAGCATGTCCCACAAGAGCGCGGCAAGCTCCATAAACGGCACTGGCCACGAGTGGCAGACCGTCATGTGCAGCACCAAGGACGCCTCATCGCCGTCCTCGCTATCTTCGAGCTGAACATGCACGTAGCGCTCGCGGCTCGCTTCGTGGGCGTGCAGGTCGTGGCGAATGTACTCGGTACTGAGCTTGCCGAGGTGGTCATCGAGGATACGGGCCAGCGTCGCGTGCCGGTCGGTCGGGCCCAAGGACGCACGCTTCCACGACGCCATGGCCGAGTACGCACATAGCTTGGGGCGGCGCGTAAAGGCCCGCTGGAGTGTCGCCAGCAGCTTCATTTGGTCGTCGAGGAGACCTTGGAGTTGGGCGTTCTCGTGCAATGCTTGCTGCGCCGCTTGCGCCTGCGTGGCCGCCCGGCTGGCCCACTGCGACTCGACGGGCACAATGCTCGTGATGGCTCGGAGCTGCTCAAGCTGCGTGGACAGCTCGTCGTGCTTGGCACGGAGGTACTTGAGCTCGTCGAGGGCCGTGGGCCGACGACGCTTCGTGGTTTCCGAGCCCGACGAGAGTGACGACGGCGAGTCATGGCTCGCCTCACCCGACGTCGGCACGAGGACCGCAATGTCCTGGCAAAAGATGTCGTCGCCGTACGCGATGCTATGAGCCATCGCTGCGGTCGGCAGAGGCGGCTGGCTGTTCGGTTGTGATCGCCGCCTGTCTTTGATTTTTTCACGGACCAATCACAGCACCGCTGGCTGATGGACATGCATTCCTGCGTGAGGGTGATAACGCCAAAGTCGACTGCTTGTTGGAGCGTAAGACATGTTGTACACGTTGGCTCTACAGCTATCTTTAAATGTATTTAATGCCATCCGAAAAACCCTTCCTGCGAGATATCGCAGGGAAGGTCGAAGTGTTTCTGGCGTCCTCATGCCTTGCAGAGGGAGGCATTGATGAGCGACGACGGCCTGGATGCGACCTAGGGCATGGAGCTATGGCCGGGTTACATAAAGATATCAACGTGTTCCGCGTTATCTTGCTTACAAAGACGTCGCATACGTAGTGCTACGCCTGAATGCGTGGGAGGTGGCACCAGCACTTGGTCGTTGAGAGTGAGCTCGGAGATCCATCCCGTGGTGGACCCCATCCGCCGAGGGATAGCGAGGTCGTACGCAGGCTCCTGTACTCGGACCACCCGACAGAGAGTGCAAGCCGGATGGATCTCAATACAAAATACTTTAACGGACTGCAGCATCACGCAGCGGCCTTCCCGGCAACGCGACGCAACAAACAAAAATGACGCGATCCTTGTTGCGTGTGCTAAGACGCCGTCTAGTTGTAGCAACAAAGTGTCTCGATCATCGCCGTGCGTCTGTCTTGGATCGAGTCCCGCGCTTGTTCAACACTATCGCAGATCCAATGCTCGAGCGTCACGTTGTAAAAGTTGGTCGCAAACAACGAATGCGGAGAGATCTTGCGTGTTGCGCTGCATGCGCGAAGCGTGAGCTCCACACTGCGCAGCATCCAGAGCCCGCTGTCGCTGGGACTGTCCTGAAACGGCACTTTGACATAGTCGTGGTGGAACTCGAGCGGCTTCTTGGCGCCCGACCGGGTCGTGTGATGCACCGCGGCCAGAAAGTCGGCCACGTGGGTTCGAATCCCGGCCTCGCGGTGCTGGCTGTCAAACGTGTCAAAAAAGACTATCGTCGCAGGCGAGCTCGTCGCATTGTGGAAACCAAACACCATGGTCACGCTCCAGTGATTCCTACATCAGCGTGAGCATCTTAGCAGGCATTTCGGTTCGGAGGGTACTCTAAAAAGAGAGGCAGCACGATGATCTCGCCCGTTAGAAGGCCTCCGTACGCAGCCGGCAACGGCGGTGGCGTGCCCGATCCCATGAGCGACGACAGCACGGATGCCGGAAGAATGCGGCAGACCCGCTTGGTCACGATACAGATACCATTCTTCGTACGGCTTACTTGAAGGTGTCTACGACAGCATTTGGAGTCATTGCACTAGCAATACATGGGCATACTTGAGAAAACGATCGACAAGCGCCGGCGTCAAGTCCATGCCTGCTCTGAGCCGCGCCTCGTCGGTCAATGGGGCGGCAGGCGGCTCGGACGCCGGGACCGTTGGCGCCTCTTCCTGGTCTTGGACCGCACTATCACGCTGGCGGCATGGGCGCTTGGCTGCAGTCATAGGACCGTCGCTCGCACGCGCCGCCGCAGGACGCTTGCCGACCGCAGGTGGATCAAAGGCCTGTACGGCGGGACCGGCCGCATCGTCGTTGCCGTTCACCTCACATAGGCGGTTGACTTTGGCAGCCATGGTCGTTGCCGCGTGCTGTACGCCACAAAGGTGCTCTTGAAACATCGTCTGGAGCTCGCGATGCTGGCGCTCGAGCACTGCCAGCTTCGCCTTGAGCTCGGCGTTCTCGCGCTCGAGCGCTGTCTCGGCATGGCTCGCCTCGTCGGGCGGGGCGATAGCTCGAAGAGCAGCGCGAAGCTCTTGAAGCTCTGCAGCGTTCGCACGCGCCTGCACTTCAATGCGTGCTTCGAGCGCGGCGATCGGGTCGTTGGCCGTTGAGGTGGTGCTGGGTCGGGTTCGCATCGCCACAAAAATATCGAAGAGGCTTGGTCGACTTCGCGTCGCTGATTGGTCGGTTGGAAAATATCGCTGGCCGAGCTCTGTGACCTTCTTCCAGGCTCTGCTTGCTGACGCAAGTTGGTGTTGAAGGAATAGGATTGACTCGCTGCGATCGCGTGCTTGGTCGCGGTTCCAGCACACCCGCCTCGTCGTTTGATCCCACCGGGCACCATACCGGTCGATTGAAGGGAATTATGAAATACGCGATTCTGATTGGTCAGCGATATTGATACTTTTGCAAGTGTGTCCAAGATGGATGACATCTTGGTGTTGAGTGTGACCGACGACTACTACCGTTTAGTCGAGGACTAAAGCATAGGCTGCTAGCATCGCGCTGGAGCATGCAGTACAGCCAACCGCCAATGACGCCGTCGGACGTCCTCTGTACCAGGGACCGCCCTCGCCGGCTTCAATCCGCGTGCTGCTCGCTGGTTCGACCGCGGTGATGCGAGTAGTGGACTCTGTTGAGAGAGCCACTGGTTACTTGACCGCGACTACGAGGTCAAGACGCGCGTGGCTTTGTTGAAGGTGATGCTTGAGCTCTCGGATCTGCGCTTTCTTAAACTCGCTCATCGGTGCTCTATCGGTGTCAACACACATGTTTTACGCCAGAGATCAGTAAGCTGGCAACAAAGACCAACACCTGCTACCCAGGCAACGCGACGGAAGAGACTACGACGAGTTTCATGTGATGTTGAAGTAGGTAGCCTAGTCACTTCGGAGCGTCTCTAGCATGGCTCGGCGTTTTTCTTGAACCGTCATGCCAAATGCATTTTGGACCCCTTCGCAGAGCCAATGGCCGAGCGTCACGTTGTAAAAGCAGGTTGCATACGGCGACGTGGGGTAAATCTTGCGGGCTTCGCTGCACGCACACAGCGCAAGGTACACGTTGAGGAGCACCCAGATACCACTGTCGTTGAGATGATCCTGCCATTGCACCTTGAGATAGTCTTCCTTGAGCACGAGCTTGGCCTTTGCGAGCGGACGGTGCACTTTATGCACCTTGACCAGGAAAGCGCGCACGCGGCTTCGGATGGCGATCTCATCGTGCCAGCTGTCCATCGGGTCCAAGAAGACGATCGTCGCAGGCGAGTTCGTCGCATCGTGGAGACCAAACACCATGGTCACGCTCCAGTGATTCCTACAGCAGCGTGAGCATCTTAGCAGGCATTTTCGGTTCGGAGGGTACTCTAAAAAGAGAGGCAGCACGATGATCTCGGCCGTCAGAAGGCCTCCGTACGCAGCCGGCAACGGCGGTGGCGTGCCCGATCCCATGAGCGACGACAGCACGGATGCCGGAAGAATGCGGCAGACCTGCTTGGTCACATCGCAAATACCATTCTCCGTACGGCTTCGGAGGTCGCTACACGCGTCGGACGTTAAGGCTTGGTGCCAGGCACATGAAGCATATATAGTACTTGAGAAAACGATCGACAAGCGCCGGCGTCAAGTCCATGCCGGCTTCCAGTCGCGCGACGTCGGTCAATGGGGCGTCCGGTGCAAGTGCCGGCGTGACGTTCGCTGAGGGTGCCACATCTGGTTCCGAACCATCGCTATCGTATATGCAGCGTCGGCGCTTGGCCGCAGCACGCTCGGAGTCCGAGCCCTCGCTCGTACGCTTATCCATCGAATCCTTGCGCGCAGGCTTTGCCGCAGCTGGCTTTTCGGTAAAGCTCTCGCTGGAACGCTTTGACGCAGCAGGGTTCTTGGTAGGACTCTTGCCCGCGCGCTTCGGCGCCGTTGGCTCCTTGGCAGGACTGTGTGCCACAACCGGCTCGGCAAAAGGGCCGTTGTTCGCAGGCTCGCCAGCCGCAGGCGGAGCAATCACACGTCTTGTCGGCGCAGAGACGATGACTTCGTTCTCGAGACCACGGAGACGGTTGAACTTGGCGGCCAACGTTGTCGACGCGTGCTGCATGTCGCGAAGGTGCTCTGCAAACACCGTCTCGAGCTCGCCATGTTTGTGCTCAAGCGCGCCATGTTTGTGCTCAAGCGCTGTAAACTTTGCCGTAAGATCGGCGTTCTCGTGCTCAAGCGCTGCGAGCTTCGCCTTGAGCTCGGTGTTTTCGCGCTCGAGCTCTGCCTTGGCCCGGCTAGCCTCGACGTGCGCCTCGTCGGGCCGAGCAACGGCGCGAAGGGCGGTGCGAAGCACCTGAAGCTCTGCGGCAGTCGCTTGCGCCTGCGCCTCGAAGCGTGCTTCGAGGTCGGCGATCGGGTCGTCGGCCATCGAGCTGCTGCCGCGGGCTCGAACCATGGCAGGCGCAATGTGATCCGAATTTGATCGATATGTCACTGGTTAAAATTTGTTGGCATCTGATTGGCCAAAAAGCCTCCATGACGTGGCAATGTGTTCGCGCAGTATGGAGGCAGCTCGCTATGATGAAGACACCACCTGTACTTGAGTTAGAAGTATTAATCGCTACTATCCAAATAATCAATGCCTGCCTTCGAGGTCGCACCGCTCTACGTCCAGGTTTGCAGTCCTCCCGGTCCAAACTGCCAGAAAACATCACGACGCCGTGTCCTGAAGAGAATGTACAACGCCAGCTACAGCCATGCTGATGCAGATCTCGCACCCGTCCTTAGTCGCCGAGAGGAACTTGGTGTCGATGAAATGCGTATGGCTCTTACTCGCCAAAAACAACGATAATGTGATGCATAAAGCCCGTCTTGAGCGAATGGTGCGTCTGCCGCCAACGTTGGTACGACATCCCCACGCCCGAGGATGACTGTTGCTGTAGCTCGTCTGTCGTAAAGAAGCTTCAAGGACGGCCCCGTCGCAAATAGTAGGCCCCATCGCGAATGGGCTCACGAATTTGGGATGTGCTGTCAAGATGTATCCCCATGATGCTCCAGCAGTTCTATCTTAGGATTCAAACACTGGGCAAGTTTAAGGGTCTATCAACTGCTTCTAGACCCTTGGCATATCGTATCGGTGGTTGATAATGGCGTGGTGCATCTGCACGCACGTCTACACCAGAGCAGGCTGACGCCAGAGTGCAATCGTCGCCTGAGTGATCGATCTTTTGTCCCATGTGTGAGAGTCGGTACTGTAATATGCAGCTGATTTATGGGAATTAGAAAATACCTGTATCCGATTGGCCACCCAGTTTGCCATTTGGAGTCAAGGATGGACGAGTGCGACGACGACATCTTGGCCTTGTGCGTAGCCGACGACAGCGTGGCTGACGACCGCTTCTTTGATGAGTGGCTCGCGTCATTGCAGACGGGCGCGGCGGAGGGCCCGGACCACGACACGCCTGCGAGCTCGACCTCATCTGACCTGGACCCGCCGACCAAGAAGCGCCAGCGCACGTCCCTGCGCCACGAAATCCTGCACCTCCGCGCGAAGCACCTCGCCTTGACCGCGCAGCTACAATCGCTTTCGGCCGAGCGAGCAGCAGACCCGGCCTCTTATTCCGTGTGGGCGAACCGGGCCAAGGACCAAGCGACGTCGGTCCAGCTCGCGCGGCAAGAGAACGCCCGACTCCAAGAAATGGTGCGCGACCAGCTCAAGTTTATCTCGTCGCTTCAGCGTGTCATGGCCAAGAAGCCCAAACTGTGCGACTTTGCCTCTGTGGCGCCGTGGGAGATGGCGACGCTTGGGGCGACCGGGCGGCGCGAGGCCAAAGAAAAGCTCATGCGGCACCAGTACGACAAACTCGAGACCGAATGGATCCGTCATGGCCTCTACGAGTACGAGGCTGGTACAACCAGTGTCCGCAAGCGCTACATTGAGTCGCAAGACGACGCGCTTTGGGTGCACTTTGCCGAATGTCACTTCTGGTCCGTCGACTATCAAGTGCTGGCCGACATTGTGTGGGGGATGTTTACGCAACAGCTGCGGTCCCAACCGCATGTCGAGACGGCTGCCGATGTGAGACGGACGGCAACTCGACGTACTTTCGCTACACGGCCAAGGTGGCCAGCGGTGCGATCCCGCCGATCGATGGCCGCCTCTTCCTGCGTCGGTACATAGAAACTGGCCGCATTGTGTTTGTGTCGCGCTCGATTCTCGACGACGCGTTGTTTCCTTCGGATCCGACGCGATTCCTCGACAACCAGTGCGCGTGGTATGTACAACTAGACGATTGGACGTTTTTGTACAACTGTGTTCTTTTAGGATCATTGTCCAGCGCACGGGCGATGCAACCGCGAGGCTGACTTCGCATGCACGCTTCTCGCCACCCTTGGTGCCAAGAGAAAGCACCGTCACGGATTTCACACCGGGCATGTACACCGAGTGCCTCCTCGAGCTCGCGGGGCACCCAGAAATGCCCCTCGAACGTGCGATTCATGATGTGCTTGATGGCCAGCACACGGCTTGACAACAATGAACATTCAACAACAAATGTCGTGCAAAAAGAATGGATACTGAGCATTGATTTAGTGTGTTCCGTTTAGAATACCCTTGCTTTCGAACCAGCGCTGGCGACGGTACAAGTAGAAAGGGTTGAAAGGCGTTGTGCTTGGCCTCAGGCATCCTTCTAGAGAAAACAGAAGTGTTCGACGAGGACGATCGTCTATCGTCAGAACAACATCTGACAGACAGCAGTACATGCATGCAATTGATCTCTACCGTGTTGGGACGACAAAGAAGCCCATCGCCTGGGAGCATGGACGAGTCTGTTTGTTCCCATGTACTAGTAGTACTTTTTAAGGGAATTCAGACAGGACATCTCGCCGCCGATTGGCCTGATCATTGTTTTTGTCGCATTGTGACGATGGAAAATGTGGACGACGACATCTTGGCACTGTGCGTTCCCGCCGCCGCCGACGACGGCGACCTGGACGCATGGGTTGCCGCGCTCCATAGCACGTCGATCGACACTCCTACGTTGCCCGACCAGGACGCGCGGCCTGCCAAGCTCCGCCGCACCTCGAAGCGCGACGAACTCCTGCACCTCCGAGCCAAGCACAACGACTTGACCGCGCAGCTAGAAGCACTTGTGGCCGACAGCGCTGCAGTCACTGTGCCAAAGTCGGTCTGGGCCAACCGGGCCAAAGACCAAGCAATCGCTGCCCAGCAAGCGCTCCACGAGAACGCCCGCCTCCAAGCGCTCCTCCATGACCAGCTCAAGACCATTGCAACCGTCCAGCGGGCCTTTGCACGCACGCCCAATCTCTGCGGCTTTGCGTGCGTCGCGCCGTGGAAGATGGCGACGCTCGGAACCACCGGTCGGCGCGAGGCCAAGGCCAAGCTTTTGCAGCACGAGTACGACAAGCTTGAGACGGAGTGGATCCGCCACGGCCTCCACGACTTTGAAGCGAGCCACGCCGATGCTGATGCACGCGAGCACTACGTCCGGTGCGAAGACGACGGTCTCTGGGTGCACTTTAAGGAATGCCAGGTTTGGCACGTCGACGCAACCGTGCTGGCCAACGCGGTCTGGAGCATGTTTAGTCAGCAGCTGCCGTCCCAGCCAGACAACTTTAGCGCCGCCGACGTCGAGGTCGATGACAACGTTGCGTATTTCGAGTATACAGCCCACGTCACGTCAAGTGCACTTCCGCCGATCGACGGCCGCGTCCTCGTCGGGCGGTTTATCGAGGCCGACCGCGTCGTGTTTGTGACGCGCTCGGTTCTGGACGACGCCTTGTTCCCGTCCGACCCGGCGCGGCTTCTTCAAAATCAGTGCAGCTGGTAGTACTGCAGTATTCTGTACACAATTGTCATCATCGTTGTGCTAGGATCGTTGTGCAAGCCACGGGCAACCAGACGACGCGCCTCACGTCGTACGCGCGCTTCTCGCCACCGGTGGTGCCAACCGAGAGCACGGTGACGGAGTTTACGCCGGGCTTGTACACGGACTGTCTCCTCGAGCTCACGAGCCAGAGAGAACTGTCGCTTCGGCACACGATTCAAGTAGCTCTTTTAGCATCGACAACCGCGCCATCATTGTAAGCGAGTCATTTTGGCGGTCGTCCATTGCGATCGATGATTCGACGCTTGGGCGCAAGTCGTCGACGTGCAACGTCAGGTTCTGTCCATACCATAGATATGGATTCCGGCTAATGCTACAGCTTATGAGCATTGCTGCACTACAACGTGACCCTTGAATACTCTCCTAGTACCCTTGATGCTCTCTCAGGACGGTTCCAGGCACGGAACGCGATTCGGCAATGTACTTTTTAAGGGAATTCGGACAGAGCATCTCGCAGCCGATTGGCCAGTATATATTTTGCCGGGATGGAGACAGTCGACGATGACATCTTGGCGCTCTGTGTTCCCGCCGCCGGCGCCGACGGCGACCTGGACGCATGGGTCGCCGCGCTCCACAGCACGTCGATCGACGCTGCTACATTGCCCGACCAGAGTATGCGGCCTGCCAAGCGCCGTCGCACGTCGTTGCGCGACGAAGTCCTGCACCTCCGCGCCAAGCACGACGCGCTGACCGCGCAGCTCGACGCTCTCACAGCCAACGCGTCGGCGATGACGACGCCATCTTCCATCTGGGCCGACCGGGCGAAAGACCAGGCGGTCGCGGCGCAACTCGCGCTGCATGAAAACGCTCGTCTCCAAGAGCTCGTCCGCGACCAGCTCAAGACTATTGCGGCGCTTCAGCGCGCGTTCGCTCGCAAACCAAAGCTCTGTGACTTTCCGTGCTTGGCATCCTGGAAGCTGGCGACGCTTGGAACATCCGGTCGGCGCGAAGCCAAGGCCAAGCTCATGCAGCACCAATACGAGTTGCTCGCAACCGAGTGGATTCGCCACGGACTCCACGACATTGATGCGCAAGGCAATGACGTGCGCAAGCGCTTTATGCAAGTGGTCGACGACGCGCTCTATGTCCACTTTGTCGAGTGCCATGCGTACCCCGTCGACTACACCGTGATTGCTGATGCGGTGTGGGGCATGCTCACCCGGCAGCTCAAGCCACAGCCCGAGCTCTACAGCGTCGCCGAGGTGCGTTGGACACAATATTGTCTTGCGTGACTCTATATTCTGCATAATACTAGGACGTCGATATCGACGACGACATTGTGTACATTCGATTCCTCGCGATCCTTGATGGCACGGCGATGCCGCCAATAAACGGCCGACTGCTCGCCCGTCGGTTCGTCGAGAGCAACCGCATCGTCTTTGTGACCCGGTCGATCGTGGACGACGCCTTGTTTCCTTCGGACCCTGGTCATTTTCATGACAATCAGTGCTCGTGGTACGCTTCGTACTTTATTGCGTCATTTCACTCGTCTGTCGAGCGTAGGATCGTCGTGGAGCCACGCGGCGAGAAGGCGACGTGGCTTTCGTCATATGCTCGGTTTGCGCCGCCGACCGTGACGGACGACAGCACGATCACAGACGTGACGCCCGGCATGTACACGGACTGTATTTTGCAGCTCATGGACGAGAGCGGTATCTCCATCTTTGATGCTTTACAAAGCGTCATGTCGACCACAAACTAGACTCTTCTACTTTCATAGACTCTCTCTCGCTTCTTCTTACATGCAAGGCTGTCTCATCCTCGGAGGCAAACATGCATTGCCACCGTTCCGCAGCATATTGCGACGTCATTTCCGACCCGGACATGCATTTGGCCCTTGCGCATCGCAGAGCACCCAACCAAAGTGCCTTTGTTGAACCCCTTGATTCAACAGTGTGGACGAGTGTTGTTTAGGCGCTCTTTCATGAACCAGTCTTCTGCTCGATGGGTTTTTGCCGCATGTGATAGCGACGTAAACGGAGAGCTGCACACAAGGACCGGTGTATGACGACCTCGCTCGCCATATCGAGTGCCAACACAGCAACGTCGAGCAATAGAATCGATGGGCTATCTGCATGTCCCCATTACATCCTGTCCTCTAGAAAGCGTGCTCGCCAGCATGGACAGCATCATGGTCTTTGGTCTGCGGAAAGGACATTCTACTCGTGCATGTCATGGACCACGTGCCCTGTTGAAGCCCTACCAGAGGTATGTACATGCCCCGCTAGTACGCTAGGCAAAGGCACCGTGGATCGACAGTCCAGGGACCGAGGCAGCAAAATCGACTTATCTCGGAATGATATGGCGATGCCACGCCACTGTCGGGTAATCATTCATACGGCATTTTGATTGGCTAATGGATGAAATGACAGCCAATGGCATCCATTGCATTCGACCAGCATGGACGACCTCGCAAGCCTCCTGGACCGCAGCGACGCAGCCTTCGCCGACGACGTCTCGGCGGTCGTGCCTGTGGCCGACGATGCGTCCTTGACGAGCGCGCTCGGCACGACTAAGAAGCGTCAGCGCACGTGCATGAAGGACGAGCTCGCGTATCAGCGTACCAAGCACGCGGCGCTGGCCGCCGAGCTCGCGCTCTTGCAGGCGACGACCGACGTGTCGATCTGGAAAGGCCGCGCGTTTGGCCAAGTACGCGCGGCGCAGCAAGCCCGGAACGAGAACATGCGGCTACGCACGAGCCTCGCGAGCCAGCTCAAGGTCCTTGACGCGCTGCAAAAGCTCTTTCTCAAGCAGCCAAGTCTGTGCCAGCTGCAGTCGATCGAGCACTGGAAGATCCCGGCGCTTGGGATCGAGCGACGAAAAGAGACACTGGAGGCGCTGCTACTGCACCAGTACGAGCAGCTGCCGTCGCAGTGGGTGCGGCACGGGCTGCACGCGCACGAAGCCAACGACGACGGCGTCTTGGAGACGCGCGTGCACACGGACGATGGCCCACTGCGCCTCGACATTCTCAAGTGCGACTCGTGGCCCGTGGCGTTCATGCAGCTCGCGCATATCGTGTGGCAGCTGCTCGTCGACCGCACAGACATTGACGTCACCATGTCGCTTCAGAAAACGGTACCAACTACTGGAAACTGTGTCGTTTTGAAATGCCCAACAAGTTGTCATGTTGTAGGCGGTCGAAATCTTCTCCGACAAGATGGTCTATGCGCAGTATATCGGCTCGTGCACGCCGCCGGCACCGTATCCTCGGCTGCCGCCCGTGGAGAGCCGCATTGCGTGCCGGCGGTATGACGAAGCGACGCGCGTGGTCATTGTGTGGCGCTCGATTCTGGACGATGCGCTCTTTCCCATGCCGACGCACCACCTCAAGGGCGACGAGTGTGGATGGTACTATTACTTGTTGTCTCTACGAGGTTGTCGAAAAGGGATTAGGGTTGTCGTCCAGCAGACAGACGCAAACCATGCACGGCTCTTGTCGTACTCGACGACCAAGCCACCGCTCGTCCCCAAGGCCCAAGATAGTACGTCGTCGGTCGTACGCGCACCTGGCATGCTCACCGAGTCGCTCCTGCGCCAAGTCCACGCCAGCTGCGACGCGGTGGACTTGACAATTCAGCGCGGCCTCGCGTTGGCAGCGTTACCGACGGCAGCTGCTTGAGTCGATGAGAAATCCCATACTAGTATTGTACTATATGCGAGCACTCGATCCATGGATTGCATTGCGTGGTGAGCTCTGGCAGTGCAGACACGGGCAGTGACCAAAACCAGAGATTTGGAGCGAACACCCCTAGCCGGACCTTCCGACGGCACCCGCGAAAGTCGCAGCTGACATGTGCATGGGTCTTGTTTGGGACACCAAAAAATTCCCGCCGTTGAATCCGCGACTATCTTATTGCACCTGTCGTTATGGTATCTATGCGTTGATAGAGGTTTGTGACATACAAATGAAAAGGTATAGACAAGTTTTCGGTATTAATTTACAGAGGCTTTTTTGGAACGGATCGAAAAACCGAGCCGCTCGATCGCTGGGACGCGCGGTATACATTTGGCACCACGCGGGCGGCAGCACCATGGATGGACCTTCAAGAAGATAGCGACGCGTGGTGCCTTAATTAAGCGACTGGTCAACCGACAGGACAAGCTAACGCCCGCAACCGCGAGTGCCCGCAACGGCGTGAGCCAGCGAGATGGCTTCATCAGCGAACCTATGGGGACCCACGGCGCGCAGTCGCAGGCCTCTGTCAAAGCAACAAAGGCACCCATACCAATATATAACTTAGTGCCACAACAATTGGTTAGGCGGCAGCTTCATGCTTGGGCAGTCGGTCTTTCGGCCGCGCAAGATCGTGCTCTCGATGGAGATGATGTGCTCGAGGTCGACGACGCGGAGGATGTCAGTGGCCATTATACAGACGACGCATCCGCGATTGTGCCTCGCCTTTGCTGCGACAAGCGCTCTACCAAGACGCACCCCGTCAAGGCTCCAGGCGACCGACACGCAACCGCTGCGACCCGTCGTTGACATGCCGTCGTCACAGTCGTCCCCAAGCCGGTACGATGGTGCATGCTCTCATTGGTAAATCAACATTGTGGTATCGACCACATACTACTGGAGAGATCTACTCGGCTCTACATGAAGTTGAGCATCCCATCAAACAAAAGGCGGAGCGACGTTCATCCTGCATTGACTCGACTATTTTATTGAGAAGTTTCGTTGACGCGTGTTCGCATCGCAACCTGCGCCTCCAACGCCACGAGAAACTTAGCGCTGTTGGCCATAAAGATCGTCGTGACCGTGTCGGTGAACGCGCCGACGGGAAACGCGGGCCAGCCGAGGTGCGCTGGCGGGATGATGGGCGGCGTCAGTGTAAAGTATATCGAGAACCGAGCACGTGTCGGGCTCTCGGGCTCAATCACCGCCCTAATAGTGTCGACAGAGAAGCATAGTATCGAGGCAATGGAGGATCGAAGCCCGTACCAGCCACATTGGTTGTCCCGCGCATGGTTCGGATCAAACGGTAAACCATTGTCGTCCAGGATCGAGCGCCACACAAACACAACACGATGCTCTTGGTCAAAGCGCTGGGTGACCGTCCGTCCTTCAAAGACAGGAAATTGCTTGGCCGCGTCTTGTGCGTGGTATCTACAATTCGTCCCACTCAGGTACCCAACCCATCGGCCATGGGTTCGATACCTTGTGTACACCAAGTTGGGTGCCCACTGCTCGAGAACCTAGCACAATCGTCTTTTGATGCGACTGCTCGCCAAAGAAAACGGACCTCGAGGTGCACGGGCGTTGAAAATTCCGCCGGGATCTTGGCCACAATGTAATCCCAGTAAATGTCGGCGAGGCGCTTGTAGTCAATCGCCCACGCATGCGAGTTGACGAAATGCATGACGAGGCCTGCGTCTACACTGCCGAGCTGCCTTGGATCCACGCCTTGCGCTTGTCTTCCTTGGTGTGGAGCGAGTGGCGAATCCACTCGGACTCGAGCTTGGTCAACTGGTGCGCCATGAGCGCCGCGGCGTCCGAACCGCGATCAATCGCACTTAACCGCGCGTGGCGCCAGCCCTCGGACGTCAACGGAAACGCACTGAGTCGCGGGATCTTGCGGAACGCGCGCTCTAGCACTTGGATAAGCTTGAGTTGCTCTTCGAGGGCTTGCTTGAGCTGGGCGTTCTCTTGGGTCGCGCGCCGGGCTGCCTGCGCCTGCTCGGTGGCGCGCGCTTCCCAGATCGACGAAGATGCCGATGGTACCGTCACGCGGGCTTCGAGGGCGCGGAGCTCGTCTTCAAGGTCGTTGCACGTCGCGCGAAGGTAGTCGAGCTCGGTCTTGAGGCGGCGCTTGGGCTTCTTGCGCGCCGGCGCATGCGACTCGTCCGCCGGGAGGAGGGCCAGGGGCGCCAGCAAGATCTCTTCCAGAAACGCGTCGCTGTCCAGCTCGGCGCCATCGCTCTGGCCCATGTAGTCGGCGAAGATGTCATCGAGCGTTGGCATGCTGCAATACCACCAGATATGATGACGAAACGGGCTTGTATCAACTCATCTAAGGGAATCCGATGATGGTCAGACATACATTCCAAAAATGGCGCCAGAGACCACGCGGCAGAGGTGCTTTCCTTGGTCGGGACCTCGGCGCATCCGTGCTTGTGTGTTGTTAGTATTTCAACTAATAGTTGTAGCCAGCTATAGCATCGAGTCAAGTGTTAGATACAGGTGCGGGCCTTGGCCCGCGCAGCCTTGGCGACGCGGGTGCAAACGCGCGCAAAAGAAGATGACGTCGGTGGTCAAATTCTTGCAAAGTCCAGCTATTTACCGAATAGAGATTCGTACGTGAAAACGTGGCGCCACAACGTTGGCATTCCGACTAGAGAAAGCACTTAACACCAAGGGAATGCATGACCCAAGACTTGACCGACGCCAATGGACGAGTAGGAGTTTGCCGCAAAAACGGCACATTGCGTCGCTGCCACTGAGCTCTGCCAATGTGATGTGATCGGAATCGAGCGAGTGACCTTGTTAATTAGCTGTCCAATTCAGTAATGAACAATGTCGCACCATCCAAAGCTACCAGAGCTATGGTACCCTCCCACTGTATGAGCCGACGACCACATTTGTAGTTCTGCGAGGAATTCCTCCCTCGGCACAGACAACACTGTTTCTATCTACGGTGCATGAATGTCCTCGTGGTCGTGCACACTATTGTCTATAAAAGAATCCATAATCTTGAACGGTGGAGTATATATCGACCATCCGCTAGTGGTATACGCGTGGATCCGCTGCAGTAATCGACCATGGCATTAAATTAAACTTGGTATTTGTATTATCGAATTACAACTTTAATCCCGAAATGCAAGCCGTGTGGAGCGTCGTATCCGGACGTTATCCGGACTCTTGCTTCACGTGGCACAAGCTGGTATTTGTCGGACGACCCAATGGCGCGCAGGACCGACGCGACGACGACATGGGCGACGGACCCGCTCGACGCGCTCCTCCTCGACGAGACGCATGGGCGCATGGAAGAGATCACGCTCTCGAATGTGTCGGACTTTCTCGCCGAGCTCGGCGACTTTGCGGCGCCGGCCAAGCCATCCCGACCCGCAAGCGCCGGGACGAGTCCTAGCCCATCGTCGTCGTCGTCGCCATCCTCGACGATGCCGACGGCGCCAGCCAAGCGCATGCGCACGACGCCGAAAGAAGAACTCGAGTACCTCCACTCCAAGCAGCGCTACCTTCTGACGCAGTTGAAGACACTGCAAGCCGCGGTCGCAGTGCCAGCCAACGACGACCCATGGCACAAGCGCGCGCAGAACCAGGCACAAGCGGCGCAGCGCGCGCTGCAAGAGAACGTCCGGCTCAAGGCGGCGTACGAGGACCAGCTCAAGATGATCCAGGCGCTGGAGCGTGTTTTCCAAAAGAAGCCCAAGCTCCAGGATGCGACGCCCAAGCACCAAGACTTGCTGCCATGGCGAAGGTACATGCTTGGCGTCAACAACCGCGAGCGCGACATGGAGGCGATCCTGCGCCATCAGTACGACAAGCTCGACACCGAGTTCATCCGGCACAATGTCTACCAACTGCGGGATACGCTGGTGTGCGACGGAGCCTTGACGAAGCGGGAGTTTGTCGAAAGCACTGCAGACAATATTGTGCTGCACTTTGTGCGGTGCAAGCGCTGGCCTATCGACTATCTGTCGTTCAGTCGACTCCTCTGGGACTTTGTCTCGCTCAACGTCAAGGTGCCGGTCAAGACCAAGGTCGACTCGGAGCGGCTCCAGAGCTTTCAGAACGATATGCTCGTGTACACGCGGTAGGCGTCGTGGATCCATATCTTGCCATATAACAGCGAGTACCGTAGCCATACCGCGCGCCCGTGGAGCGAACACATGGACATCCCGCCCGTCGTCGGCCGGACCGCATCCATGCGCTTTCTAGAGAAAGACCGCGTCGTGATCGTATGGAAGTCGATTGCCGACGATGCGCTCGTGCCATTTCCCGACCACGACCACGTCAAAGACAACAAAGCGGGCTGGTAAACAACCATCCGATCTCGCCATCACCGTTTATGCTCGCATGTACAACTAGGGCCGTCATCACGCCCGACGGACCCGACGGGTGCCGTCTCGCAACCTACTCGCGGCTCACGACGCCCGTGTTCCCGTCCATGCAGCGCGGCTCCATGACCGAGACGATCTTGAGTCTATACGAGACCAACTCGGGCCGCTTTGATGCGGCCTTGACCGCCGAAGTCGACGCGCGGCGCAAGGCCATGCAATCGTCCTAAGCGTCCTCCAATATCGAGCGTCAGCGTGCTAATAGAAGTAGTTTTCCATTCCCCGAATCGTACGTTGGTCCATTGGCTCGTCCATCGTGAGGTCGCACCGACGGCACCTCGCCTAACCTAACCCTAACCGTTGGCATCACGTCCTCATACGACATTCTTTTGCACGGGGATCTACAGCTCGAGCACGAGACTCCCTTGACCTTACAATGGTACCACCTGTATCGCACGCTATACTGAAGCCCATCCCACCATATTCTGTCCGTGGTCCAAGCGTCCGTGGTCAGCTGCGGTTCAAAACGACGTGCGTAACAGAGGACGACATGAAGCATGTGTTATCGTCGCGGGCGCTTGATTGCAGGAGGCTCTGAATACGGCGAGAGATTGCCTTGCCGTGTGGCGACGCGCGCTGCGACGGCGTTGTGCAAGCCAACGCCAAACTTGCGGCGGTTCGCCTCGGACGTGTGCAGCACGAGCTCCGTGAGGGTGCCGACGGCCGGCTGCACCATGAGACTCGACGCAATCGGCGTCGACATGACCACGACCGTCTGCAAGACGCACTCGTTATGGCTGCGCGGGTGGACCACGACCCTAGCATGCACCCGCGTGCGTGGATCAACCATACATGCCGCAGAGTACACAAGGCGTACCAGCCCATGCGATTGGCGATGAGTCGGTTGGGGCCATGCGGGTACAGACGGTCCTCTAGAATGGACCGCCACAACATGACCACACGCTGGTCTTGCTGGATGCGCTGGACGATGGACCGGGACTCGAGCACTGGGGCGTCCGAGTCGTGCAAAGCATTTTCTTCCCTACAAGAACAGTAGCGATTGTTGTGTCCTGCTGTAAAACGACATGGTCGCGTACCGTACGTAGACCAGATTGTCATTGAAGCGTTCTAGAATCTAGTACAGAGACATGGGAAACGCGGATGCAAGACGCGGAGAGGTCGACCTCGGAGACTGGGTGATGGTCGCCCAGTTTGTGGTCCCAGAGCACGTCGCCCATGGTGCGAAAGTCCAACGGCATGCGCTGCGACCCGACGTAGCTGAGACGAATCTCGGGCGTCGTCGCTGGCTCCAGCACTGTGAGCTGGTTCAGCGGTGTGTCGTCGTCGAGCGCCTCGTACAGGCGGTGGCGGATCCACTCGGACTCGAGCCGCTCGAGATGGTACGCCATGAGCGCATCGACCTCCTGCCGCCGATGCTCGATGCCGAGGATGCATAGTCCCGTCGACGGCCGGAACGTCGTGAGCGCTGGGTGCTTGAGCAGCATCTTTTGCAGCGACGTGATCATCTGCAGCTGGCCTTCCACCATCTCCTTGAGCCGCTTGTTCTCGAGGAGCGACCGCTGCGCCAGCTGCGTTTGCTCGACGGCGCGCAATGCCCAGCGTGAGCTCACGGGCACGAGCGCCTGCTGCGCGTGAAGGGCGTGGAGCTGCTGCGTGAGTGCGTCGTGCTTGCGCTTGAGGTACTCGAGCTCTTCCTTTGGCCGCTGGTAGCCGCCCTTGGTCGGCTTGGTGCCGCCACCAAAGTCGGTCGTCGAGGCGAGGAAGGCCGAGAGCTGGTCGTTGTCGTCGTCGAGGAGCGCGGCCATCGCTGCGGCGCCCCGTCACGATTGTACTCGACGCGTTTCTTCGTTCGAAATTCGGTCTTACTTCGACACCGGTGATTGGCCAGAGAGATAGAGTGGGACAGCGCAAGCCACCTTCTTCGACTCAAGAAAGCAGATATCTCGTCATCTTTTAGTTTAGCGGTATAGACACTGGTTCACCACCAGGTACAACCGGGTTCGAGACCCGGAGGGGCTCCACTTTCTGATACTTCGCGCCAGCCAAAAGGGCAAAAAACCGTATATCGTCATGGGCACAATGTACAGCAAAACAATTTCCATCGATAAAAACGAAATACATCTTCGCATGCGCAATGGCACGACGGTGGGTGGTGGCTAAAAGCACTTCTCAGTGTTTTGGATAAGAAAGCATTGTCGCGACGGGCTTGGTGGAATCCTGGAGCACCCGACGTTGGGACATGAAGTGTCCAAACGCCAACTAAAGTACTTTAGAAAATGATTTGGTCAACTTAGTCGTCGTGTGCCGTTCGCATTTTCTTGTGATTCTCGATCGCGCGATGCAGCGTGCAGCCGAACCGATCGCGGTTGACCTCGGCAGCTTGCAAGAGGAGCTCCGTGAGCGTGCCAACAGCGGGCTGGATCGCCTGGAGCGCATGCGGGATAATGGGCATGTGCAAGCGCATGCACATTTGCATATTGGACTCGCTACCATCGGCGTCCGCATGCAGTACCGACCTATTTGATCTGAGCTTTGCATCAAGGAGTAAGAAAGGAGTCGGTACCAGCCCTCGCGTTTACATATCAAGTGGCCATCTTTGTGGGGATGGAGTTTGTCGTCAATGATCGAGCGCCACACCGTCACGACGCGGTCCGTCTCGACATACCGGCGCATGGCGATGCGGGCTTCAAGCACCGGCATCGATGGGTCCGGCAGTACAATGTCTTCCCTACAACAGACAATCGAGCTTGTATAGTACGAAATGACGAAAGAGTCGTACCGAATGTAGACCAGATCGGGATGAAACGCTTGTAGAACCTAAGACGCACGCAAGCCATCAGTTTTCAAGTACATACTTCTTCCCATCCAAGGGCCAAGAACGTACGGTGCTGTTGTCACAAACGGGGTTTGACTTGTGGGCCCACACCACGTTGCTCATCGTGATAAAATCGAGCGGGACCGTCTTGGAGCCGAGAAAGATGATGGCGTCGTCGCTGGCATCCTCGCTGGCGCTTTGCACAAACGCCTTGCGCATGTGGAGGCGCCGGTCTCGTGCGTCGTGGAGACCGTAACGGATCCATTCGCTGTTGAGCTTGTCGTACTGGTGCTGCAAGAGCGCCTCCAAGTCTTCTTCTCGGTTGGTGTCGCTTAAAATCGCTTGCTTCCACGCGACATCCGCGGGCGGAAACGTGCCAAACTTGGGCCGCTTTGTCAATACCTTTTCGAGGGCCTCGATGACTTGGATCTGGTCCGTGACCATCTCCTTGAGCCGCGCGTTCTCTTGCAGCGACCGCTGGACCGACTGCGCTTGCTCGATGGCCCGGGCCTTCCACGGCTGCGTGTCTTCCGCTGTCGCAAGCTGCGATTGCAATAACTGCAGCTTCTGGACGAGCGTCTCGTGCTTGATGCGGAGGTAGTCGAGTTCTTGCTTGGGTCGCTGGTACGGGCGCTTGCGTGCTGGCGATGCATCGGACGACGATGTATGGTCACCAAAGTCGACGGTGGGCGCCAGGAAGGCCGAGACCGCCTCGATCGAGATCTCACCGCTACTGCTACTGCTGTCTTCGTAGAGGCCAACGATGTCGTCATGCCCGGCCATCGCAGCCATCGTTCTAGACTCGACGAAGCGATTCGGCGACTGCGGTAAAAAGTGCGACATTGCATTGACCAACACTCTTCGTACCTCCAGATGGCGCCACGATCGGGAAGGATGGCTTTGGCGCCAGAACCGGTCCAGATGTAGTACCGCGGCAGGAACGAAAGCACGACGACTTTCAGTCAGAAACCAAGCATCCGTGGTACGTCTATGAGTGCGGCGCGACGTCCAGCGGCATGGCGATCGTATGCAATATGACAGTGCATTGTAGTCGCCACAACCCCGGTCGGATTGTTACCTGAATGACGCAATCAGCCGTGTTCGCATCATCAGTCCAACTGGGAAGCGCGTGCTTGGGATGCCCGTCGCGTTATCAATCGACGTCTCCAGCTTGTTTTTCGGGTGATGTATTCCGCCCGCCAAAGCCAGTGGGCCAAAGCTGGTACCGGGTGCAAGAAGCACAATTGAACATGGTTTTACGAGGTGGTGTGGATGCGTTGTGCCATGAGCTGTTGGCGCCGCGCCTCGGTGGCGTCGTCCAAATCTTTACCAAGCTGCTCCTTGGTGTGCTGTGACGAGGCGATCAAGAGCTCGGTCCACGTCCCGGTCGTCGGCTGCTTGGACGGGATCGACGACGGAAACATGGGCGTCGCCATGGTGGCGTAGATCTGGAACGAGCATTCGGTTGGCCCCTTGTCTTCGAGCACGACCCTATGGACGAGGATTCACATTGAGATGTGGAAAAACGCAGAGTGCCTACCAGCCAATCTGATTGCCAATGAGATTGCCAGGCTCGTGGGGCATGAGCTGGTCTTCCAAGATCGATCGCCACACAATCACGACGCGATCGGCTTCATCGTAGCGCCGAAGCGCGTACCGCGACTCCATCATTGGCATGCTTGTGTCCAAGAGCGTCATGTCCTCCCTAATGGATTTCAGGCATGAGAGACTGCCACGTCATATGACGGTTTCAGATCCATACCTCGAGTAGATCAAGCGCGGATGAAAGAATTGTAGAATCTAGTCGCACCACCCGATTCTGAGCATGGAGGTAGCCAGACGCGCGATGTACCTGCTGCGAGGCCCCGCGCTTGCCCGTTTTAAAGTCCCAAAAGACATCCGACATGCCCCGAAAGTCCAGCGCCCGCGTCATGCGCCCCGCGTAGTTGAGCGTCACGTAGCGCTCGTCGATGGTTTGCACAAACATCTTGTGCAGCGGAGCGCCGTTCTTGTTGTCGTACATGCCAAGGCGAATCCACTCCGAGTCGAGGCGCTCGTACTGGTGCTTTAGAAGCTGCTCCAAGCTCGCTTCGCGCTCCGTCGCTGCCAAGATGCACTGCCGCCAGAGGTTGGTGGCTGTCTGGAACGACGACACTTTCGGTCGCTTGTGCAACACCTTCTCGAGCGCCTCGATGACCTTGAGCTGGTCGGCGACGTGGCTTTTCAAGCATGCATTCTCTTGCAAGCAGCGCTGTGTCAAGTGTGCTTGGTCCTGTGCGCGCGATCGCCACGGACTCGTGTTGCTCGGGAGCATGCTCGCGCTCTCGTCCTGGAGGACCTGGAGCTGGGCGGCCAGCTCGTCGTGCTTGGTGCGAAGGTACAGCAGCTCGGCCTTGGGGCGGTCGACGTGGCGCCGCTTCCGGCGCGGCGCGGGTTGCTCGTCCGACCCGGACGAGAGAGGCGACGAAGCGACAACGCCAAAGTCCGTCGTGTCGGCGAGGAAGGCCGAGAGGTGCGGAACGCTGCTGTCGAGGACGACGTCGAGAATGTCGAGTTCGATCGCTTCCATGTTGCCAAGTGCAAAGACCGGCCATGAAGCACCGAGACGATACTATGACGAGCATGGCCGTGTAGTGTAATCGAAGCGGGGTAGGGTAGTGTCCCGTCATCCGAGCGCCGCGAGGCCACGTGAGGTGTGTGACAGCGCCAGTCCGTGCATGGCCTTTTTGTTGCACGCATAGGCGTACATACATGTACTAGTATATAATATACGTAGTACTATATGGGGTGGACATCGCGCAAAGGTGTCTTGTCGAGATGCCAACACAGCGTTCTTCTCGTCAAGCGCGTTTTTACGCAGATTTCGATGGGTCGAGCAGAGACGCGGACAAGCTGTCTCGGCCATCTGCAGCCATGGGCCAAGGATGGTAGCGTCAGCGTTCGTCGTTGTATGGCAGAGACATTGATTGTACTCTCACCCGCTCCAGCGCACAGTGACCACTCAATCGAATTGATATGACGTTATGCAGAAATTGTTCAACAGCGATCATGTAAAACGACACGTGACCTCCTTTTGTTGTATCCGCCTGTCATTTTCAGCGCTAAAAAGATGACGACGGATGTAGCAGGCAACTAGCTAGCTAAGCGGTCACTCGTTGCACCAACATCCGATAGAAGGTGGTATGCAAAATATACTTGATACAAAAATGATTCTACTAATGTACACACTCAGACGATATCGACGGGCGCGTGGCAGTCTTGTCCACAGAAAACGTCGGGGCTCATCGGCAAGCCGAGCTGCTGGCGACGTGCGACCACTGCCGTTTGCATGATACCGCCAAAGTTCTGTTTGTTCTCTTGGGATGCTTGCAAGAGGAGCTCGGTCCATGTCCCGATCGCGGGCGTCACAGCGTCAATATGGGATGGGAACGTTGGCGTCAACGTCGTCATGCTGCCTTGGAGACAGCACTCGAAGCGACTGACTGGCTCAACAACAAGCCTACATCCCTCAGTCAGCCATCATTTCTACACATGGAAAAAGCTATCGTACCAGCCCCAGCGACTGCCAATGAGGTGCCCCGCGCCGTGCGGATTCGCCTCGTCTTCAATGATGCTTCGCCACAAAATGACGACGCGGTTCGCTTCGTCAAAGCGGCGGACGCCATCCCGCGTCTCGAGCATCGGCATGGTCGCGTCTGGGAGGGGCGTGATCTCTCTACGCGTTTCTCGTATCAGATCTCACACGGCAACGTGCCACGTACTGTGTGTAGACGAGATTGGGGTGGTACGCGTGCAACACCTACCCCCGGGGTTAGGGCTCCAGGAAAAGGATGCGAAAAATGACCTACCGTGCACGCGGGGCCAAGCAGGCCTGTCTTGTGCGACCAAAGCACGTCGGCCATGGACTGGAAGTCGAGTGGAATCTTCATTTTTGCCACAAACCCAAGGCCAATTGTGTCGCCGTCGGCGCTGCGCTCGAGCGTCGCTTGCTTGAGCGGGGCGGCCGCATCGTAGAGCCGACGTCGGATCCATTCCGAGTCCATCTTGTCGTACTGTTGCTGCAAGAGCTGCTCTAAATCGACTTCGTGGTTGGCGACGCCGAGCACGGGATGTTTTCCGTCGATATGGCTGCCGCCAAATGTCGAGAGCCGTGGCCGCTTGGTCAAAATCCGCTCGAGCGTATGAATGACCTTGAGCTGGTCTTCGACGAGGTTCTTGAGGCGGCTGTTCTCTTGCAGCGTGCGCTGGGCGGCCTCGGCCTGGCGCATCGCACGCTCTTGCCACGGCTGGAGAGCCTTGGGCGGCGCGCGCAGCAGCTGGAGGAGCTGTAGCTGGCGCTGCAAGTCAGCGTGCTTGGCGTGGAGGTACTCGATCTCTTGCTTAGGTCGCTCGCGCCGGGCGCGCTTCTTTGTGTTGATCGTGGGCGGCGCTTCGTCCGAGCTCGGGCTCGATGGCACCGGGTCGACCGACGTCGTGGGCGAGCTCGGGCCAAAGTCAGACATTGTTGCAAGGAAGGCCGAGATGTGCTCCATGCTCGTGGCCTCGTCCTCGTCCGGGAACACCTCGAGGATCTCCATGGGGTACGTGTCGGTCATTGATGATGCTGCTGTGGCAGAAGCTGCGACTTTGCTGTTTTGCCGAATTCGATGAAATAAGCAGCGACCATCATTCTCGCGCCAGGGGATTGGCCGATGACGTCGCCCACGTGGCACAAGCCGATGACGCGTGCGTCGGGGCGTCGTAATCGCGTCGCGTTGTCTGAACGGATCGTACATCAAGCGCTGCGATCGCAGACTCTACGGCGCCCCACTGACGGCACACCACCGACGACACGCAGGACAATATTGTACATTGGTGTCTACGCGATCCGACCTCGGCAGCCCCAAGGGCTCCACGCATCGACAAAAAGGGTGACCGAAGCCAGCTACGATGCGCAGCCACCCAACATTCTGAGGATGATTGATTGGCATGGCTGCGACAAGGATAGGATGTGGACGTCTGGCTCCAAGGTCGGTGGTACAGTAGTAGGAGTCAATCGAGCCAGGCGAGGTCGAAGCGCTTTGGAGAAGCACGTCGGGGGCTTCCCTACGTTACTACGTGAGCTGCGGCGGGTTTGCTTTGATCGCCGAGAGATGATCCTGTTGCGCCTATCCTCACGGACGCAAAAAGCTTCTTCCACCGCTTGCGAGAATAATGACAATTCTGCAGGGCATGCTAGTACTTTGAATTGTGAGTCCAGCGAAGTCCGAGGCGTGTCGGCTGCTACGCTCCTTCCATTGCTTCGTAGGGTTGCACGATGCGCCGTCTTCTCAACGCTGCCTACCGGTCATACCGGTAAAAGCGTCCTTGCAAGCTTGTGACGACGGCAGAAGATACTCCTCGATCTGATATGTCGTCGGCTCGTGGTCGAGCAAATGCCACCACACAACTCAATGCCCCGCCTCAAGGTACACTAGAATTGTGCCAGCCCCAGCGGGGATCACGAGATTATCGTCAGTGCCTTGCGATGTCATCGTCTTGTCTTCAGTCAGGCTTCGCCACATCATCACGATCCGGCCTACTAGCTCGTGGAAGCGGCCCAGACAATCCTGCGTCTCCAGTACGAGCTCGGAAACGTCGCGTGCGTGCATGAGCTCTCTATATCCACGTTCAGCTCGAACACCAAGCCCTATAGCCACGACGTACCGCATGCTGATTGAGTGCCCATTTGTGTCATTCGTTCTCGACACCAACGACTAACGCGAGGCGGAACGGCGATGCTTGACGTGGATGTAAAGTACTTTGCACCAGCTTGGGGTTTTTGACGTCAGAATTTGGCTTGAAGCGGAAATGCTGCGTGAGGCCGCCGACGGAAAACTCGGCGTCCTAGCAAAAGTACACCACTGAAGTTGCCGACGTTCGTCTGCTCCATTTTTGTGTTAGCCGTAAAACGACTCTAGCAAACCTCCGCATGTGTAGTAGAGTAAGTGACTAGAATAAACCGAGTTGCTCCCGGCGCTCGAGGACTGCGGCCTGAACCACAGCGCCCAACGCGTCCTTGCTCGTGTGCGACGACTGGACGAGGCGGTCGGTCCACGCCGCTACCTCGGTCGCACTGGCGCTGGCTGGAATTGTCGGTATATTCGTTGTCATGCTACACTGAACACTGCACTCGGACGCAGTCGTTTCCTCGACCACGAGCCTACAACCCACAAGTCACTCAGTGTACTATTCCACATACGGTGGCTCGCACCAGCCCCAGCGGTGACCAACGAGATGGTCGGTGCCGTGGGCCGTGATCGTCTCGTCTTGCCCCACACTTCGCCACACCATCACTACCCGGCCTGGCTCGTGGAAGCGGCCAAAACAGTCGTGCGTCTCCATGACGGGGACATGGAGGTCGGCGTAGCGTGTGAGCTCTCTATGCATAAAGTTGTTGCTACGGAAAGACAGGTAGCTGGTAGGTACCGCATATAGACAATATTGTGGTCGATCGTGCGGTGTACCTAGTCAGGATATAGATATGTGATGTTGGTGAGACTAGAAGAGACGGGTACCGAGCACGACGGGCCGAGCAACCCCGTCTTGTGCGTCCAAAACACGTGGGCCATCGACGTGTAGTCGAGCGGTGCGATCATTTTAGCGACAAAATGAAAGCTCGCAATCGCCCCGTCCTCGGTGCCGCGCTCAACCATCGTGTACCGCAATGGCGCCGTCCCGTCGTAGAGCCGACGTTGAATCCACTCGGACTCCATCTTGTCGAATTGTCGCTGCAAGAGACGCTTGAACGGCGTCGTGTCGTCGTCCTCAGTGTGGGTAGTAGGGTCCCGGGACAAGAGGCGCGGGCATTTCCGCAAGCTGCGCTCGAGAGAAGCGAGGACCTTGCGCTGGTCGTTCACGAGGCGCTTGAGGCGACTGTTTTCTTGCAGCGTTCGTTGGGCAGCCTCGGCCTGACGCATCGCACGTGCTTGCCACGGCGTGAGCGGTCTCGGTGGCGCGCGCAAAAGCTGGAGGAGCTGCAGTTGGCGTTGTAGCTCCATGTGCTTGGCGTGGAGGACCTCGATCTCGTGCTTCGGCCGAGCATGCTTCTTGGCCTGGGCAGCGCTGTCGTCGTCCGAGCTCGGGTTGGACGATGGCGTACCAAGCAGGCCAAAGTCGGGCGTGGTGGCGAGAAAGGCCGACATGTGTGCCATCGCATGAACGTCGTCGTCGTCGGGCAACGTCGCATCGTACGTCGACCACGTATTCATTTTTGTTGGAAAGAGAATTAGGAAATGTAAAGTCTACTAAACTATAGATAGACACATTGCGCGTGATCACGTGGGGCGCATGATGGCTCATCATTGTTGGTCATGGCCATGCAGATGGATTTAAAGGATTTGGTTGCAAGAAAACGACCCGACCAACTGGCACCACGACAACGAACCCCGACGCTCTCACGGCCTGTAGTAGGTTGGTGATGCGCCAACAACCATTGGACCGGTACTAGTACAAAACTCATCGTGGTCATTCCACAGCGCGCTCCGCCACGAGTACATCTTACACCAAGTGCGCAATCCGACTCATCGACCGCACACATTTACGTTCAACCTAGGCCATAAATTGGTCCAACGCACAATGTATTTATTTGTAAGTCGACCGCACTAGTCGCTCGCACACTCGACCGCTCAATCAACGTAACGTTGTACACCATCTCGCACCACATTGTTGCGAGGAACGGCCGAGCATCGGCCCAGGAAAGCCTGCGCACCGTAGCGGAGGCAGCGTGTTGGCTCTTGTGCCGGCACAGCAAGTAGCGAGTCGCGGTCTTTCACGTCGAGAGGATTTAAGATCAATGGGTCGCCGAGGTGGAGGCGAGGATGCGTTCTACTAGTTGTTGGGATTTGCGCGGTAGAATGTGCGAGCGACGTAAGAAATAGTGCGGTCGCTGTAAATATTGTGCGGTGAACGGAAGCAAATGTATGTCATGTCGTTCTGGACTCTGACCACGAATCCCGCAGGCACTTGGTGCCTTGAGGCACCCAGAGCTGCAGGTCAGGACGCACGCGCTGCCGCCGCATATGACGTGGCGACTATTGCGGGCCGAGGCCAAAGAAGAATGCAACTCGAGAGACCGTCACGGTCGCTAGCACCACCACGCGCCATGATAAAGACGCCGAGCTGCTGCCGTGGTCAAGAACAACAAGTGAATCCCGTCGTGATTGCGCCGGCGACGTGTATCGACGGCGACTAGGGACTAGGCTACGATCAGTCATTCGACCAACATGCAGGATACCGTGCGGACGCATATAAATGATGCTGGTCGAGTTATCGCGATGCCAGTGTACAAACAAGGCCTTTTGGTCTATATAAATGTCGTTCTCAATGGTACAGTATCACGCCTGGAGGGCGATTTGGCGGCTCATGACCGCAGCGAAGAGCGCCGCACTAAACTTCTCGGTGAGCTCGTCCGAAGCGCGCAAGAGAAGCTCCGTCCATGAGCCAATCGCCGGCTGCCGTTCGGGCACGTTGGCTGGAAACAGCGGCGTGAAAATCACCGCGTGGGACGAGATGTAGCACTGGTGCGCGTCCACTGGATGCAACGTGACCCTAGTACGGTTTATCCATGTACACCGCTAACAATAATTGTCCTTTTATGCCGTACCAGGTCACACGGTTGTCAATGAGATGGCCCTCCTCATGGGGCAGCAAATGGTCGTCCACGATCGACCGCCACACCATCACCGTGCGGCCGTCTTCTTTGTAGCGGCGAATGGCTACGCGCGTCTCGAGTATTGGGATGGCCGGGTCGGCGAGCTTGATATCTTGCCTAGTATTTCCATCCAAATCAAGAAGGCGTCGTCGCAATCCAGGGATATCGCTCTTAGGTCGGTACCGTGTGTAGACGAGGTCGCTATGAAAGGTTTGGAGCAACTAATGTCCAAAACATGACACTATCATCCAACAAATACGTCCACGTACGGAGCACGACGCGTCCAGCGGCGTCGTCACGTGGGTCCACAGCAGATCGCTCATTTCGTCGAGACTCAGCGGAATGAGGCCGCCACGGACAAAGTTGATGCGCATCCCGACGTCCGCGCTATAGTCGACAAACGTCTTTTGGACCGTCTCGCGCTGTGCAATCGCATCGTGCAAGCGGTGCTGGATCCACGCCGACTCGAGCTTGTCGCGCTGGCCCTGCAGCAGCAGCTCCAGATCCGACTCGCGCGATGACGTGCTCAGAACGGCCTGCTTCCATAGCGCGTGGCCATGCGTCGTCGCAAACGTCGAGAGCTTGGGCTGCTTCTCCAAGACGCGTTCAAGCGCCTCGACAAACTGCAGTTGGGTCTCGACGGCCTCCTTGAGGCGGTTGTTTTCCAGCATCGAGCGCTGGGCACAGCGCGCCTGCTGGATCGCGCGGCCCTTCCACGCGCTGCTAATCGATTGCTTGGCTTGGTTCTCGTGCATGTGCTTGAGCTGGCGGCGCAGCGACTTTTCCTTGGTGCGAAGGTACTCGATCTCGGCCTTGGGGTTGGTGCGCGCCCGGCGCGGCGGCTTGGCTGGCGCGATCGCTGCGGTCGGCGGCGGCAATGGATCAGTCGAGAGGAAGGTCGAGAGGAAGCCCATGGACGCGCTGTGGCCTTGGATGATCTCGAGGATCTCCATCTCTTCCGTGAACGTGAGCTCGTTCATGCCACCGGCGTTCTGGCACGACCTCGCGTCAACAGCAACTTCGACTCTGAGACACGACCTTTCCGAGACCGTCTTTATTCCGTAAAAACGGTGAATAACCGGTATTTGCATAAATACCGTATTTTTGACCCTACTCGACACCCAACGAGAGCCGTCCACGAGACGAGTGAGAGGCTTTGCCGGTACATTGTCAAGGCGCAAGAGAGAACTCGAGAACAGGAGCGTCCACTTTTGCTAATCGTTCGCTCTGCTAATCGTTCCCTTTTACGGTTTCTAGTGATTTGATTACCACCCACGGATGTCGACCGAAGATTATGCCCCGACATCGGTGGCACAGTTCAGTCAGCTGTCCAGTGGTTTTCGGATGAGCCCGTGTTTGTGGCCATTGCGAGTCGCGTCATCGCTATACGCTATCCGTGTCTGCCACGCCTTCTCGAGGGGTACATAATAGCCCGTTATAAGTATATGTACCCCTGGCCTTTTCGCCCTCACGCGACCGAGCTCGTAATCGATCCAAGGGCATCGCTGAATCGCCCTCGTTTGATGACTCGTACAGAAGGCACGGAAGAGTGTGTGTAAATTGCGCTGGGATAGTAATACCATGCGGCGAAAGCTACTTGCTCATTGCGATCGCTGACTCGGGCGAGCTTGCGCACGCTCCTGTGCACGACTACGAGGCGATTGAAACCACTGCATTCGCTTGGCTCGCACGACATGGCGGCGCGGCGCATATCAACGCGCCAGCCGCTTGTTGAAACAACGGTCGACGACGTCCTCTGTTTGCAGTTCTGCGGCTCGGAAACGACGACCCCATCGACCATTATGCTACCGTTTCCAGCCTGCTCTGGGGATAATTTCTCAAAGCCCCGCAATTTGCCTCCTATTGCACCGCATCAATGTTGTGTGGCGCTCAATCGCCCAGGATGTGCTGCTTCCACTTGATGGACGCCGGGTACGGCTGGCACATGTATTATGGTGTTTTTACCGTAATTTCAACAGCTCTAGGACGGTGATTGTACCCAGGAGCCCGACACAATCACAGATACGTGTGTGCACAGGCGCGAGCTTGCTTTCGGGACGCAGAGGAAGAGCAAGCACAGACGTTTTCAGCATCTATCACGACCAGCAACCCATAGAGATGGATGTTATGCCTTCAAGTCGTTTTAAATCAAGTTGATACTTTCGGCATGTCTCCACCTCGTGCAATATGTCTACTCGATTGGTGTTGCAAAGCTACTACATTCCAAATTCTAGGGCTATGGCGCCGATGACCTCGCCGCCACCAGCAACAGCAAGCAGACTCGCAGTGTCGCGTGTCCGCAGTGACTCTTGAAGCACCTCGTCGATGGCGATGCATTGGGACGGAGTCGCATCGTTGCCGTGTTGAGCGTGTGGACCATAGACATATATATCGTCCACTTCCAGAGCAATAATGAATTCGTAGTCGGTTTCTTATATGGTACTATTTCTAATAGTGTACAAAATCGTCGGCACTAGCCGCTCAAACGTTGGCCAAGTGAGCGCGGACAGCGTCTTCAACTGCGCTGCCCATAATTTTGCACATGTTTTCGGCGTACTGCAAAAGGCGGTCGCGCATCGTTTCGGCTGCGCGATCGTCGTCTGCGGTGGCATGAATCGGCGTCGAGATGGTCACCAGCGCCGACAAGTAGCACTCGTTGTCGCCCATGTCGTGGATCGTCACCCTAAAGCCACCACGAAGCTTCGCATGAGACATCGACGACACCGTCACTTCCTATTTTACCAGCCACGCGAATTTTCAACCCACGCGCCGTCAGCATGCGGGTGCGCTTGGTCTTCGAGGATGGCGCGCCACACGATGATGATGCGGTCGGCCTCGATATACCGCCGGTTCCCAAAACGCGAATCGAGGTCGGGTAGCAGACTCGGGAGCTCGTCGCTTCTGAGATCCCTAACCACAGTCGCATGTCTTCGTTAGACTTTCATACAATCGTGTCATGGACAGTACGCACCGGCCATACATCAAATTGGCATGAAACTCGCGCGTTGACGGGCAAGTAAAGTCCTTGCGCTTGCGCTTGAGGTCCCACACGACCTGCGACATGGTGCGAAAGCTGAGCGGCATCACCGCGCAGTTGACAACGTGGACGTTGCCGGGGCCCTCGAGCAGTCGGCTCGGCGTCGTTGAAATGCGCTGGAGGGACTCGAAGCGCTCAATGACATCGAGCAGCCCATGGCGAATCCACTCGGACTCGAGCGTCTCGCGCTGGTGGAGCAGCAAAGTTTCGAGCTGCGCTTCTTGGTCGACCGCGCTTAAAATGCCCTGTTTCCAAAGCAACTCGTCGGTGATCGCGGGTGCGAGCGTGGGACGCTTGCGACTGAGGCGCTCAATCGCGCGGAGCTTTTGTCGTTGATCATCGAGAGCAGCCTTGAGCCGCGCGTTCTCAAGCAGTGCACGCTGCGCAAAATGGGCTTCGCTCATCGCGCGCAGCTTCCACGGGCCCGAGAGTGATGACATGCGCAGTTCGTGTTCGCGAAGGCTGTGGAGCTGGCGCTCGAGATGCGCAAGCGACATCGTGAGGTACGCGACCTCCTCTTTTGGATTGGGCCGCAGCCGCTTGGTACCGCGTTGGATCTCGATCGGTGGTGACGGAGGCGGTGTCAACGACGCCTCGGCGAGAAAGGCAAGGAGGCTCGCGGACGAGATGGAGCTTTCGACCAGCGTCATTGTGACGTCGTGTGGGCAAATGCAAACTGGCATGCGATCGACCACGCATTTGCAGGCTCTTGTTGACAAGAGCCCAACGTGTTTAGGAGATACAGGCCAACACGTACGACTTGTTACGCTTCCGCCGAGTGAGCGTAATCGTTCGTTCGACGTCGGCGTGCCCTCTTTATGTGACAACTAGGTTTTATTATATCCCAAAAGGTATAGTGACAACAAGATAACTTCTTCATTACCTCACCAAGTATGACGGTTGGACGCTGTGATATCGTGAGGAGAACAGTACGGACATAACGGAGGCTGTCTGGAGGTGCCATACCCCCGACCTTTTGACGTGGGAAACGTCGTCTCAGAGAAGCAGGAAAAGGCTTGTTGCAATGCATGTACTGTAGTACTGTACTCGATGCTTCGTAGGCGTAGTCATCGCGTCCTGACGATTACGGCGCGTTGAAAAGATCATTTTTTAATATGAAAAAGGAGTCTGCCGCGCACGAATGGTAGCACGACCACTCGACTCGGCACTACATTCCACGAAGTACGCCCTGTCGGGCGATTGCGAGATACAGACGCACTGGAAACCACTGATCGCCGGCATGGGCGAGAACTGCGTGGGAAAATCTGGGGTTGTGGGTGGGAGCCCTAGCATCTTGTTTCGTTGTTTCTCCGATTTTGTACTTGTACGCGGTCAAGGATCCATCAAAATGGACCCTTGACCGCAACAACACATCAGTAGCACCGCCACAATTGGTGTGCGGTAGCCAAAGTCGCGAGAACAGAATGGTGCACTGTACTGATTGATTGTATTGGGACGATATGGTGCATCGCGCACACCTAAACCTAAACGCAAGCGAATCTAGATTGTGTTCAGCGACAACACACAACGCTATTACATACGGGCCATCGTGACCGGATGACGTCACGACGTCACCACGCGTTGCGCCGCTTGATGGACAAAGGCCGTGACTTGATCGCGATTGTCTTGCGTGATCTTCAAGAGAAGCTCGGTGAGAAGGCCGACGTCATCGTCGTCGCGGCGCGCGGACGACGAGAGCGGCGCCGTCATGCTCAAAAACACAGCAAAGTAGCTTGCGTCCGGTCCTCGGGGATACGCTACCGCCCTACCCCAGCGGTGGTTGGCACCAGCCGCAGACATGACAAGGCAGTGTACCAGCCCCACGCATTCTCGATCAAGTGGGAGGCGTTGTGTGGCTTGTGCGCATCGCAAACAATCGAGCGCCATGCAATGACCGTTCGGTCTTCCTGGACCCACCGGCGGCACGCCAAGCGCGACTCGAGCGTTGGCCGAGACGGTAGCTCCAGTATCGAGTCTTGCCTAGTCGATACTCTTCTAAGCAGAAAGCGCGGGGACAGGCGGCACACCTTGTGTAGGCGAGATCGGCATGAAAGGTCTCGGCGTCCTATATGCACGATGCGATGAGCGACCTGAAAGTGCGCATGGGCGGCAGACGTGGCCAGGTGGCGGCGACCGCTGTGTGAGATGCGTCCAAAGCACCGACGCCATCG